TGGAGACCATGCGGCGACTACCGAGCTCTAAACGTAGTTACGCGCTTTGATAGCTACCCCATCCCCCACATACACGACATCACGGCATCGCTCAAGGGCACGACTATCTTTTCTAAGATCGATCTGGTACGAGCATATCATCAGATCCCAGTCGCTCTTGAAGATATCGAAAAGACCGCTATCACGACTCCTTTCGGTTTGTTTGAGTTCCTACGAATGCCATTTGGATTACGGAATGCTGCTCAAACTTTTCAAAGGTTTATCGATAGCATTGTACGAGACCTCGATTTTGTTCACGTCTATATTGATGACCTGCTAATCGCATCATCAAACGTAGATGAACATTATCAACATCTTACGCTATTATTCCAACGCCTTTCGGATAATGGAACACTGATACCGCGCGCTACGGACTGGACGTTACTTTCAGGCCGAGGTTTTTAGTTTCACTTTTCTAGGATTCTCGCATAGCTGGATGAATTATTTTTTCTTGGAATTATGGAAAATAACTCTATTCTTAACTATTAGCATATAAACTGTGAATTTCATGCCATATGATAAGTTCTGAGTTCAACTTACAGTATTTATGATCATATTCATACAATAATTCATAATCATATGATTACATATATTCATTTTGACTATACGATCAAACTATACTTTGAAACCGTATATAATCATATTTGACGAAGATTTGCATTTCATATCTGTATTCTATTTCTTAAGGAATATATGATTATATCGTATTTGAATGCTTTAACCCACGTACTTTATGTATCTACAGGATCTATTCAAACCTCTACCTAATATCAAGAAATATATATAACCGTGTATGTTAAAGGACTGTATTCACTATTTTATTAACTATCATTTAAATCGTATTTGGATACTATAAATTATTTCATTTCCGAAATTACCTGTCCAATTCGGTGAGTCTGTCATAGTTTGTTTTTTTGACAGTGTTTTTTTCCAAAAAGCTGTTTCATATATTTGTTCAAGAAGCAACATAATAACTTTAGACGGTAATAATCTTCTAAACTACTTATCTCTGCACCTCCCAATTTTTATTAATACGGACTTTCAGTTTATATATGTATCACATACCGTACTTTTTTTGATTGTTTGATACTAATTATCGACATTTCTAAATTACTTTACTATATAAGGCTATCTTTCGTGTCATATATGTTAAAATTTATACAACTTGCTCCTTTATATTCTATTTTGCCTCCACACAGATACTGACATAAATACTTCATCTCCACTACTATCTTCCTGCCATTGTCATCTTTTGTTTTTAACACCACTAATCCTCACGATACATTCACTCTTGGTTAAAACATAGATTTTGATTTTTAGACTAACTTGAGCCCTCGGAATTGATTTTTTCACCCCTATTTCCAACATTCTGTTCAAACCACTTGCTATACGTCACTTTATCATGTCACAAAAGAAAATGAAGACCCCTGCTCCTAGGCGTTCAGCCAAACGTAGGAAAACGACACAATTTAACACCTCTACCGATACGATTTCCAACAGTTTCAACGAGACGTGCCACTCCGTTCATCCGGAAGCAGACAGGCTTTTACCAGTTGTCTCCATTCCAGACATGTTGAAAACTCTGATGGTAAACAGTGATGATAATCGCAACTGCAACTATATGGATGCTATAAAGAAGTTGCAAGTAGACATGAACATTCTCAATCCGCTTAAATATCTCATCAACCCCAACCTCACAGAGACTCCAGATCAAATGAATGACATAAATATTTTCCTAGATCGTGTTGCATCAGAGGTATTTGAAAGAATAAGACGATCTAGCAATGCAATTGTGTTTAATATACCGGATACACATGCCCTTAAAAATATCAAATCTAGTCTGCTTAGAGCCAGCAATATGACACACGTACCATGTGTATGCACAAGATTAAAAAGAAGTCATCCTGGTATGCACTCACCGATCTTGTTCAAATTCAACTCATCTGTAGACGCCAGTGAATTTTTAAATTCCTCCAATTCATTGAGACAAAAACAGATTTTCAAGGATATTAAGACTCTTCCGGATAAAACACCATGCCAGCGAAAAGCAGGAAGAGATAACTACAGACCATCAGCTTCAAACTCTCAAATGCATCATAATCCTAATGGTTGTAACGTTAAGTCCGATTCTAAGAGGACGTCTAGCTTAACAACTTTGCCGCCACCAAAAAACTCTTCTGAATCTCATAAAGTTCAAAACCCAGAAGAAAGTAATCCCGATGTAGGTGGTGTCCATCCTCTTAAGAATGTTGACTTAGATTCAACCCGAAGTAGTTGTGCTGATGAAGAATGGGATAACACAATCCAAACCCCTGTTAGTGCAACACCCAGTTACAGTAACTGTGCAACGGATAACAGGAAAACTAATCATAACATTCATATAACTGACCACGCACTTAACGTTGATATATTCGAACCTCGCAAACCATCGCAAGTATGTTTAACAGTACACAATCCTCTCCAACTTATGAAGAAGCCGAAATCAACCACAAACCTTGGAAATAAACGTCTTAAACACGTTACCCATACGTCAGGTATAAATAGTTATCTGAATTGTAATTGGCCACTTGGTCACAACCATAGACCTGATAGCCTTCTTGGTCCGGCTCCCAATATGTACAGTATGCCCTTATCAGATGTTATATCCAATAGCAATGAAAAGAATTTTTTTGTAATTCCGCCGGCTTTCCTGCCGGCAACGGTAAACATATTTCACATGATGACAAAGTGGTTGAATCTATTTCCCCTCGCAACACGACTCTTACCTTAGCTAATCCTATGAGTATTCATGGAACTACCAATTGCGATTTATACTCTAACCTGCTTCACTATGATGACTCTGAGTTTCTTATTCTTTCGTTCAATGCCCGCTCTCTGTCTAATAAAATTATTCATCTTAAAACTCTTTTATTCCTTGTTAATCCAACCATTGTACTTATTACGGAAACGTGGTGTAATTCATCTATATCCGATCATTCCTTGAATGTAGATAACTACGTTTTCTTTAGAACCGATAGATGTTATGGAATAGGAGGCGGTACAATTATCTATGTCCGTTCAGACATTCAAGCGTGCAAATTTGAGGATAAATCCCTTGATGCTATAGACGACTCCACTTGGGTTACTGTAAACTGTGGATCCCAAAATTATTTACTTGTGGGATGCATATATAGACCACCTCATGCGGATACTAAGTTTGACAAATTACTAACAAACATATTTTCCATTGCTTCGCACCAACCGCATACTTTTAAAATCATCGGAGGCGATTTTAACCTGCCAAAAATTAAATGGGGCTTGACTCCGGTACCAGGTCGATATAACAAGCTAGTTGAAACATTAGAAATTTGTGGATGGGTTCAACAGGTCCGAAAACCAACCAGGGGGAATAATACACTTGATTTAATGTTCACAATCAACATAGACTCTATCTCAGTACATACCAGTCATGAGTTTTTTATGAGTGACCATAGAGTTGTATTGGGTATTATTCACTCTTTAAACGCCATACAATTGAACTCTAAAGCTTCATTGATGTACCAAAGCAGACATTTTGATCAACAAACATGGAAACGGACTGGAACTCTCATTCAATGTTTACCATGGGAAACTTATTTTACCACAAATAATGTTGACATTGCGCTTTCCAATCTATACCACAACCTGATATATTGTCTTGACTGCACTGCTCCAGTTATTGGCCGTGTGGCTTATAATGCTAATAGGGGCCAAAATACTTTTAAAAGAAAGCTGAGGAAATTAAAATGCCGCTACTACGAGCAGAATGATGTGTATGCACTTCAGAGTATACTTAAGTTAATCAACAGAAATGCTTCATCTAAACGTAAGTATTTTATGAATATAGAAAATAAAGCTCTACGTAGTAAAAGCCCAGAAATATCAATACTTCGGCTTTTTAAATCCCGTGTAAAGTCGAATCCCCTTGGCACGACTAAATTCTTCATAGTTAACGGAAGCATTGTTAACGACCCGAATACTATATGTGATCATTCCGCTTAAAGACTAAAACATAACACGTTTAGTTGCGGACATTTCGTGAGTTTAAATAGTCCAATGGCTGATTTGTTCTTAAAAAATGGATTTTGCGAATGTACTCGACCATACATTCTAACGCACACTTTTCAATAAAGCAAGTGCTGCCTGTATTTGCCTAAAGAGCTACTCATTTAAATGATGTGGCTTTCTCTCTGCTACATATGGTTTCTATTTTCAAGCCACTGATAAGGGTTCTATGTACTAACTTTGGAAATATGATAATTTATGTTGCACTAATCTTTGTACTAATATACTTGTCAAAGTAAATACGTGGATATTTACCTAATTATCGTATACTATGGGAGAATTCATAGAGAACGGGAAATTAAAATTAACCACACTCGTGCATTATCTCAGCCCTCAAATAAATCGAGTGGTTTATTTGGTGCCTCCTTGTATCAATGTTTGTGTCTAAGTAAATAAGAAAAACTAAGTTTAATAAGTAAATATAGCACACAGAAAAAACTACAATAAAGTATTAACCTTCAGGAGAAATTTGCCAATAGATTATTCTTTACTGGTGAGGGTGACTTGGTCTACGTAGCCTAATTTCTCCGATGATTCATTTCCGCTATTTCGTAGATATGAATTATAAAGTCAAGAAACCCCTATATATATTTCTGATGGAAATTTATTGAGTGTGTCATTAATTTAAGTGCCTTGAGGTATTTTTGTCTTATTTACTCCCACTCCAGAAAGCATACATGTTTAGATAGACGATTAATAGATGTATTTAACGTGTCTCAATCACCTCTCTCGACGCTATTTCACATCACCCATCAAGCTGCTGTTTTACGTTGCATTTCTTCCTCTTACTGTTATCGTGAATTAAATATTATATAAGTGCCTTTGTTAAATCTTTCTGTAGATTTCGAATTAATTTGTAAATCTGTGTTTACTCAATTATGGGGAATACTCCGACTCACTATAAAAGACGCTTTTCTGGAGACGTTTGTGGCAGACTCCCTAACTCAACACCACCTGGTGTCAGTGTTACTATCCCTCCACCGAAAAAACGAAATACTCATAGTTTGACAGTAAGTAACTTTTGATTGCCCTTTCAATAGGTTGATAACTTGTTTATATTGTGTAAATATTCGTTAGGAATTAGGTTGGCGAACAAGCTTGAATGATTTTATGTTCTATAGTGAAACAAAATGCTTAGATTATTTATGAGTGGCTTATGATATATAGTCATGTTCATTGTTTACTTTGATGTAAACTTCTGAGCGAAACAAGTATAGAATTAGATTAAATACTTATCAACCATGATACGTAGTTGTGTCGCATTATAAAAGAAATAGTGCTAGCAATGTTAACCATCAAGTCGCTACCAAACAACTAATGTATAGTTAAAAATAAAGATATGAGATTTATCAGTTCATTCTTATATGGCTAATCGAATTTGTATGCTACTAAACAGCCTCGGACTAAATCTTTGCATCGGATGTTTTTAGTTTCTTTTGGTGATTCTCTTTCATGATACCATCAGTCTTTTTAGATCCAGCCACTCGTAGACAATTTAGGACCTGGCCTAAATGCATATATATCATATTTGGGAAACCTCATTTCGGAGAACTGAGAAAACTGAAAAAAAATACAAAGAGAAGCAAAAGAGAGCAAGTAATATGAACCACCGTGTAAGGTTAAATAAAGAAACACCAGCTTAAAAAAGGACAAATAAAATGGAAAAAAATCATGGAAAATTTAATGATACTGAGGTTAACCGGCCAGTCACAACTCATGTGCTCTAGCCCGTTTCTATACCAATATTTTCATCTAGATATATGCACGGATGCTATTGCAACTAATTTTAAGCCGTGTTACCAAATGTCTATGGCTAAACATTATGACTATCTCTCCGATCCTAAACACAGAGTTTAAATCTACGCACACGAACTTCACGAAGCGTTGTTATTTCTTCGCTTGGCTGCCATTCATTTTCTCCCAGCCTAGTCCCATACTAGTCACTATTACTCATTTCATTGGCAGTGGCTAGATATCGGTAGCACATCTCAATCACATGAATTGACGAAAGTCTAATGCTTCATCAATCAGTTTATCTTTCCTACCTAATGCCTTAAACCTTACCTCATCACTTACACGATAGCTCCATCATACACAAGCAATACCATCAATTGATCGCAATCTGTTTATGTCTTCTACGCTCATAGCGAATGCTTTCACTGTCTTGACTTTATGGTACTTACGTTTCCCGAGAAAACTCTGGGTTGTCAATTTTCTCCAAAGAAACCAAACGCTAAACACCAAAAACTACACGATCAACTTAGTAAATTATTGGTCATGTTCATCTGGAACTCGTTTAATTGTGCTAATAAATTGGACAACCCACAAGAAGAAAATGTCTAATTATTGGTTAATTCCTCATTCTGTCGGATAATAGATGTATAATCTAGTATGGTTTCGGTTAAATGAATTATTGTTTATGAGTTAGGAATAAATCTTACTTTTGTATTGTTTTCTTTTGTTTACCTCTACAAACATTGTTGCACACTTCAATTTTAGTTCTAGCTAGTCAACTTTCATGAGTGACTTAATTGTTCGTCCGCACCCCCCTCCAATCCGTGATTTACGGATGTACGTTTCGTTTTGTTTATCATTAACAAGACCAAAGAATTCACCTCTTAATTCCAGTTAATCAGTAATCACTATTCAGTTGTTTGGTTGTTCATTTCTTTAAAGTGACCTGAACAACTTCACTAAAAATAAATTTTTGATGTGACATTTTCTTACAGTCGATTGGATAATCTCTTATATATGTACGTGTATATACACCATGAGTAACCAGTACTTTTATTTCAAAATTTGACCTAATTCAGTTTTACAAAAATAGAGTTGAAATCGATCAAATATATCTGGCTATTTTGTGGTGTCTAATTTAAACTATACACGACAGTATTATTATCATTACCTAATTTCTCTCTTAGGATTTATCACGTTCTGCTCCAGCCGATTATCCTAATAATGAAATGTCAGTAAACGACGACAATGTTAGTCCTAATGACAAAGATACAATCTCAATTGATGAAGCTACGTCAATGATGCGAGCTGCCAGTCTACGTGAACCTATCAATATAATCGATGCTCATGATAATCCTGATGATAATAATCGGTTATACAATGTGCTACCATCTGCCAAAATGGTAACGTCAACAATTTCTAGTGGTGATGAGAAAATTTCCAATGTTCTTCACGAAAGACCATCTAGTGCAGGTCCATTATATTCAACAGATGAACAAATAATGTATAAGCATAGTCAACCACAAATCATTTTAAATAATGTTTCAAGAGATCGTGCAAGAACTTTACCATCCAGAAAGTTGGTTGGCTTAAAACTTCCTACTGTTTTTCGATGGAATGGTGGTGGTAAAGATATATATATTAGTGGAACCTTTAATAACTGGGAGAAAAGAATCCCTATGGTTAAAAGGTAATTTATTTTGTGAAATAAATATCTCTTTTTAGTAAATTTTGTTCTTGTATTATAATAAAAAGGAATGTTATTTTACACCTGTTTTATATCATAATCAAATTTAAGTTCATTTATAATTGTCCCGATTATCCCGTTGTTGATAACTTGACTGGAATTTGGTCAGTTTTAGTTGGTATATGTGCATCCTGTGAGAATTGTCTCGATATAGCCAATTGTGACACAAGTTTGTATAGAATAGATAGAATGTGGCTAGCAGTACAAACCTGGAAGCGCGTTTCATTCTATTTGGAGCTCTTCAGCCACATGCATCTGTATTCTATAATTATTGTTCACTCTAAGACTTGAATCTATTACCTTTAGTTTCAAAAGCTAACCCATTATCCAATTGGCTAATGAGTCCGATAGCCACTCACTTAATTTTAATCTAATTTGTAATCCTTCGGAATATCACATTGTTTATATTTTGACTGAAATCTGATCAGTCTTAGTTGGTATATATTCAGGTACATCCAGCTATCAAGTCCCAAATAGGACTAAATGCGCGTCCTCGATTTCATTACTAACCACATTCCATCTATTTTATGCAATCAAATATGTTTGAATCCAGCCATTATGCGATTAAATGACGAATGATCAGTAAATTTTATCAGGTCAGATTATTAGGACACTGAATAATCATTCTGTTAGTTTATGATAGCAAATTTCATCAATGTATCAGAAGAAGAGACTCTTCAAAAAAATATTTGTTCGAACTATATGAATCTAACCAATCAATGAAGACCGATCGATACCGTTAAGCCTTAATCGGACAATAGAAAATTTAGTTTTACGTCATATAATTAGTTGAATTAGACAAATTTGAAATGTCAGATGGGTTTTGTGGATATTATAGTAAGATCATGAGTCAGTTGAAGCTAGACCACCATGGAAAATCTGAAAGCACCGGATGACCGTTTCGTCCTATTGTAGGACTCCTCAGTGGTGATGCTTGATAAGTTGATTCTTTCCTATTGGAATTCTGATGTTTGCAATACCAGATTAATTAAAGTATCTCCTAGTGTTTAAATAATTTTTCTAGCCTAGTTAACTAAACAATAATTTCAATATGTTGTTATTTTTTGTTACGATACATTGAAATCATCTATCACTTTAGTGAATATAAGATCTCAAAATGATAATAATGATAATGATGGTAGTAGCAGTAGTAGTAAATTTTCCAATAACTATAAATCATAACATTATAGAGGTTATAATGGTGTCAAGGTTATGAAATGTAAGTATTATGTGTTAAATGATGCTCATATATATTCTATTCTGAATAAATGAGTTTTGATTCATTATTATTTTATTATGAATATAAAGCAATCGGTTATGTGTAACAAATTGAATGGTAGAGTAGTCGAAATAATGTAATAACAATGGTAATAAGAAGGAATAAATATTGAGAATATGATTGGAAAAGGCGGAATGAAAAGGTATGCATGCTGGGTTACTGGTACACGAGATCTAAAAGAAAATAAAGAGTGAATGCCTCTGTCCCATTATAACTGATTCTGATTCATATTAACTAATGTCTTCAATCACTGATGAAAGTTGTCGCGTGAATACCAACCAACATTAGCTCAAATCGATAATCATTAACTTCATGAACTGATACCATGTTTTGATTTGGTCACTTCTGCATTTTTGTTAACTTACTTCTATACCTGTCCAAATAAGATTGATAAATATGTCGTCAGAAATTCTTGATTGAAACATAAATATTTTTTTAAAATGAAGTATATAGTCTGCGTTTTATTTACCTTTAACATTGTTTACCGCATAATCGCTATTCAACTTACATTAATCAATTCATCCATATTATAAGTAATCGGTTTGTTGACATTGACTTTTTAAGTATACTAATCAGTTGTTTCTTCTAAAAAAACTATTAGTAAGTATCATAGACATTGAAAAGTGATATTAAGGGGAGTGTTTTTTTAAAGAGAAGTATTATAATCCATTATTAATTCAAGTACATTAATCTTAACATTTTAACAGTTTAAATACTTATGTTATGCTTTGTGTTATGATAAGCTATATTTGTATAATTTCGTGGGTAAAAGTCAGTTTTTCATATTCATTATTGTGCCACCAAATGCCCTGGTACGGCCGAGAGTAGGGAGAGTTCGCTCTCCCTCTCCAAATGCTCTCACATGACCACGCGTATATAGCCTCTGCCAGGGAAGTCCTACTCACTGCCTTCTCGCGGCATTACTGTTGTTTACGAAATTGAGAGGACGAAAAGCGAATGTCTGGCACTTCAACCGGGAAGGTGGACACGGAGAGTCCACCTAGGAGAGTTGGAAAGCCATGATTCCAAACCAATGGTGCACATGGGCTCCAGTACCCTGAGGGAACAAATGGCATATGAACCAATTATTGGTCACCGACTACTATGGGACTGTACCTGCTGACGTTGCTTCACTGTCTTGTGGGTCAGACCTTTAGGTCGAAGGCTCGGGGTGTGGCCCCCTAAGAAGACCATTTGTGTCGGTCTGGGCACCCGTGCAGTATCACAGCCCACTCACAAACCAAGTGACCTGTGTGGCTTATATGTATTCGGTACCCCTTTGTACCAATATTTATGTGTTCAAATAAATAAATAAATTCATTATTGTTAAAATGTTATAATAAATATTACCAAGTTTTTGTATTTCATGATCTAGAAAGTTTTAAGTCTACTTAATTAGAGAAGGTCACAGAATACTACTACTACTACTACATATTGGACATGAAATATTATTGTGTAAAAAAACATTTACTCTCTTCAATTGATGGTTGTTTCAGTTCTATAGTTTAAAAACCTGTACTTTATAATGGTACAATCGATTTGATAATGTTATGAGTTACGATTTTGTGAATAAATTTTCGGTCGCTGAAATAAAAGAAAAGAATGCTGATTGATAGTTGAAGTGGTCAACGGATGTCGGTTTATGAAACTGAATTATTGACATAAATCTTAAACAAGATTGCTTTCTATTAAAATAGGCTTCTCGTTGTAATAAGATAACATGCTTCTACACAAATATTAACACAAAAGTAAACGTGACTAGAAATCATGTAATAAATAAACGATTAAAACATATGACAACAATAGGTCACTCACTTTAGAATGAAATTAATGCCTAACTATAAGCCGTAATTCTTATTTTAAGGGAAGACTGGTAGTGTAAATCTAACTATAAAATCTAAGATCCATACAGTAAATAATTCATTTGCAAAATATCAGTCAGTCGTCTCAGACTTCATTGTTCCTTCGTTTCTACAGCAATCATTCTCTGTTCCCGTTATCTTTTCTTTATTTTTTTTATCTGCTGATGATACATACTACTTATATCTATGGACATCAGTAGCACACACCACGGGAGTACCAAAGTTTAGCCTAAAATAGCTGGTCATTGCTTTCTGATTTTCAGTGATGATGCCCTAGTTAATGTCTTATTTAGGAAAAATTTCAGATTGAATATATTTATACAAACTACCTTATTAAACTAGGGTTGATTGAGTTAGAATGACATATTCGATGCCCGAAAATAGATTGACAATGACAAGAACTGGTACATTCTTCTTGATAATTACACCTCTGTATTATGATGGTGTGACAACTTGAACTGATGTGTACATTCGACAAGTTCTTTGTTGCGTATGACTGACTATATATAACTAAATTTTCTTCTGTTATTTTGTCCCTTATTCTTATTGTGTTATTTTTCTTAGAAACTCAGGAGTTTACGTAATTATTGATTGTAAACCTGGTATTCATCAATATAAGTATTTCATTGATGGGGCATGGTATCATGACCCAACTAAAGTGAGTGAGTGAATAGTAAGCGAAATATTTTGGTTTTTAATGCTTTTTGTTGTATAATACATCCTTCGATGAAGTAAAATCACTGTATGAATTTCTGATATTCTTGACTTGAAAGTTAGAAATACGAGTCTGTTATGCATTCAACTCAAGAGACTCACAGAATTATTGATTCCACTGATGACGAGCTCACAATTGTTTATAAATACTTGCTCTGTTTTGATGATAGTTGTAGTGGTTCTCGATATTGATATTGATTGTTACAAGGTCACCTATAACCATTTTGTTGAATGCACACACATGAACCTCTCGTCATCCTTGTTGTTTTCTCCCAATTGGTGCATGTAGTCCTATGATATCTTCATGTTCGATGTTGTTTATTCCGACTTGGATGTTCATGTGTCCCATCAGGATAATCATGTCCTTATAAGTAGTGAGGCAGTGACTAGATTCCGCAGCTTCGTCAACATCTAACATACACATTGAATTAATCGAATCCTCTATATTGACTCTTGCCTTCTTGCTTTTGTTGGACGCAATCTTAGGCGAAGGTGTTTCGTCGACGGTCTGCCTCAAATAAAGTTGGAAAGCATCAACCTTGGCCTCCTCTACGAAGGTAAGTCAGTATATATCCTGAGGATGACACAGGTATTCAGTGTTTGACAATGCTTTTACCAGTAACACCTAGTATAACTCTTACCCACCAAGAGAAATCAAAAGACAGAATTAAGCAGATCAGAAGTTGTATTTGACGATTATTATTATTATTATTCACAAACATCTTATGGGTACATAAGTGTTGTGAAGAAACCATTTCGGGTTTCTTCAAAAAAATGCAATAATACACAATTTTCAATAATGTCAGCATTCTACTGGCCATTAAAAAAAATTTTGAGCAATAATAGTAGAATATTAATAATAATAAATCGGGTCTGTGCAATTGAGAAGAATATTGAATTGAGTTTAAAGAAGGAAATGCAGAAAATAAGGGAATAGAAATAAAGGAGACGTGAAATACGCAAACAGTCTAATAGGCGTGTTTACGAACACAGAACAAGAATAAACGACTGTGTGTATCGTTAAATTAGTAACAAAAAATAATTAAGAAAAAATAACTTATAATTGCAGTAAGATATGACGCTAGAATAAATGTTTGTGCAGTTATAGTTTAGAGTGATGCTATGAAAGTTACAATTAAATGAAAAGGATAATAAAATATCAATATGTATGAGTCATATATGCATAGTGAAGATAAAACGGGTCTGAGAATTTAATTTAAGTGTAACACAAGTTATTGTTTTAATTACAAACTTCGTAATCTTAAGAATATTTATTTAGAGGGAAAGAATGGAGTGAAAAGAAGTGAACACCTAGTGAAAAGTTTTGATCCATGATAAGAATAATAATTGTGTAATGAATATCAACCTCAGAAGGAAACCAACAATTAGAAAAATAAAATAAAAATCCTTTAATGCACTCGGATGAATACATTTAGATTTATGTAATAGTATACAGAGTGAAACCGGATATTAGTATAAATATTTGTGCAATAATAATTAAGATTGATGCTATGAAAGTCAAAATTGATTTTAAAGGACAATCTGGAGTTAAATATGTTTAGAAGGATAAGAAGATACAAAAAGAATATCTAATGTGTCAGGGAACTAATAATGATATTAATAACGGAAATAATGATAAACACGAACATAATCAGATTTCATATATTAAGATAAATAGAAATAAAATAAAATAGATGTGGAAAGATTTAAAGGTTTTATTTTGCTTTTCAAGCAATTAAATGGATGACGGACCTTGTTTGTATAAATCATTATTGAATACATTGATATTCAATAGGTGACATAATCCACTTTCGGAAAGAAAATCGTCAAGGAGACTTTTGAACCGGGTTGTAGTTTCACTGCAACGGAGGTTCACTGGCAGTCTGTTCCACATGGTTGAGTAGCGAATAAGGAAAAAATTCTGACGTAAGTTTGTGTGGGTTCTTGGAATCGCTAGAATATTCTCCTTATTGCGTAGATTGTGGGATGATATCATAAGGTATGAAGGGGTGGATACCGAAGAGTAGGAAATACCGTTAATAAGCCGGTAGATAAAGACAAGATTTAATTTGATACGTCTGATCCAAAGAGGCTCTAAGTTGAGTTGTTGACATCTTTGGTAATAGTCTTTGTTATCGGAATACCCCAGAACAGCTTTGGTGAACTTTCTTTGAACACCTTCAATTCTAATCAGGTCAGTATGTCTACAATTACTGTAAACTAAAATACCATATTCAAGAATGGGTAAGATACATTTTCTGTATAGTAACAATCTCGATTCGATATTATTGAAGTTTATCATTATCAATCCGATCAGCTTTCTAGCTTTGGATACTTGAGATATAATGTGTTCAGAAAAGTTCAGACTGTTGCTATATCTTAAACCCAGGTCACGAACAGTGTTAAGAGGTTTGAGTGTATGTGTCTGTACAGTCAGATTTAAGTTAAGACAGCGACCAATGTGAATAAATCCACTTTTGTCAACATTAAGTGGCATATTCCACGAAATAGTCCATTCGTACAACTTGTTTATTTCCTCTTGGATTACCGCTGAAATATAGCTTTCTTTCGTGGGAGAAGAGAATGAATAAACTACTTTCAGGTCATCAGCAAAAAGAAAAGGCTTACCATACTGAAAGAGGGAACACACATCATTGATAAAAAGGAGAAAGAGTAATGGACCAACCACACTTCCTTGTATAACCCCACTGGTTACATTCACAGGTTTAGAGTAGCATGATCCAAAGCGAACGATTTGGCTACGTTCTTCTAAAAAAGATTTGAGCCAAGATAAAAGGGGATTTTGTATGGCTCCTCGTAAACTTCATCGATATTTTCCAGCCGTCCTGGAAGAGAAAGAACATAGTGTAAGTGCATGTCGAAATACCCTCGTACGCGCGTAAAAATACAATACTGGCGAAAAAAAGTGGAAAATAAACTCATATACACGTAATATCGTTTACAAAGGATTTTTATGTATTTTTGTTTTGTTTTTTTTAAATGAAAATAAAAACATATAAGCATATTATAATTTTTTTCAAAAAAAATATTACATATGGTAAAAAGAAAAATCAAGTAGTGCCTTACGTGCAATAATCGTTTGAATGTTCTGGAAATCTTACTCTTCTACCGGAACGCGTCGTCTTAAGTTTATTTTCTGATACTATTGAAGTATCATCGTGTGTGTTGCCTGTCGGTTGAGGCATTATAAGCGTAGGAGTCGTGTTGTGCGATTGAACTGAAGAGGAACCGACGTGAATAGGATTTCCTTCTAAGTACGCTGCTTTGAGGCGATCGATGCTGATGCTATGGTTAGTTCTGTTCTCACAGACTTTATAGTACTTTGGTTCGCTCTGAAGAACCTTGAAAGGTCCTTCGTATGCTGATTTGAATGGTCGTCGATGCGAGTCTCGACGAACGAAAACGTGTGTACTATATCGTAAGTCAGGTTGAAAGCGACAGTTGACTGCGGTCGAGTGGAACGCATTGCGTTTGTAAGCCTGCTCGTGTAGGAGAAATCCTTATTCATTGAGGATAACGAAGGATCCACGAATTCTCCTGGGAGTCGAAGTGTCGTTCCATAAACGAGTTGAGCTGCAGTGTATCCAACGTCAGCTTTCACTGCATTGCGAATACCTAGTAAGACGAGTGGAAGAGCGTCGGTCCACTGTGAAACGTTTGCAGCTGATATTGAAGATTTTAGTTGTTGGTAAAAACGTTCTACCAACCCGTTTGCTTGTGGGTGGTAGGCGGTCGTTCGGAAGCGAGTGATTCCTAAAGGGTTGGTCAGACGACGGAATAGTCCAGATTCGAACTGACGTCCGCGGTCTGTAGTGATAGTTGAAGGGCAGCCGAAGTTTGCTACCCATCGCTTGACGAAGGTGCGGGCCACAGTGATGTCCTTAATAGGTACTGCTTCTGGCCGCCGAGTGAAACGGTCTACGCAGGTTAAGAGGTAAGAGTATCCATTTGAATCTGGTAAAGGTCCTACCAAATCCAGATGAACATGGTCGAAACGAGCATCGGGAGTTTTAAATGAGCCCAAGGGACATTTATTGTGTCCGATAACCTTAGATTTTCGGCAGCTTACACAGGAGCGCGCCCACTTCCTCACGTCTCTATTCATGCCAGGCCAGCAAAACCGTTCTGCTATGAGCTTGATGGTTGCATGGACACCTGGATGAGAAAGTTTGTGCAACGTATTGAAGACGTTGCGTCGATAATGTTTCGGCATGATTGAGCGAGCCCTACCTGTAGATGTGTCACACAGTAAGGTTTCCTTACCTGTTCCCATTTGCTTGATGCGTAACTTGAGGGTTGTAGATGATAACTCGTGCTGAAGATCAGTGTCTTCTTTTTGAAGCTGGGCGAGTTTCAGAAGGTCGATTCCTTGTAAACTGTTCAAGGAAGTTATGCGAGACAAGTCGTCTGCGACTACATTGTTAGCTCCAGAAATGTGTTGGATGTCTGAAGTAAACTGCGAAATGTAGTCCAGTTGTCGAGGCTCATGAGGTGAGTGCTTGTCAGAGGACGAGCTTCAGGAGAAGGTAAGCGGTTTATGGTCAGTGAAAAGGGTGAATTCACGGCCGTCGATATTGTGTTGAAAATGTCGTACAGCACAATACATAGCTAGGAGTTCCCTACCGAATGTGCTGTACCTCGATTCGATGTCTATCAACCGTCTAGAGGAAAATGCCAAAGGTTGCCAGGAGTTGTTAACCCACTGTTGTAAGACTCCTCCGATTGCTGAGTCGGATGCGTCTACTGCGATACTAATGGGTGTTTCGGTGTCCTGATGGGCAAGCACTGTTGCTTTAGCAGTAAGTTCCTTAACTGTGGAGAACGGTTTTAGCGCGGTATCGTCTAAATTGATGGATTTCGCATTTCTACAAAGTTAGTCGGTTAGAGGTTTCATAAGTAATGCGCATTTCGGTACGAATCGTCTATAGGAACTTACAAGGCCGTTAAACGCGTGTAATTGCTTAATAGTGGTCTGTTCTGGATAATCTAGAATAGCCTCCACTTTGGTTCTAAGAAGTCGGATGCCTTGTGCATCAACAGTGTGTCCGGATGAATTTAGGGAGTCAGTCCCGATTTGATATTTCCCAACGTTAACAGAAACGCCATACCTTTGTGGTCGTTCGAAAACAAGATCCAGATGCTGGAGATGAGATCCTCCGTCCAGCATCTCAATCAAGCTGTCATCAACATACGCATGTACGAAGTTGAGACCTCAAAAAACGTCGTCTATGAACCTTTGTAATGTTTGGGCAGCGATTCTCAGACCGAAATGCATTCGCAAAAAATTCATAGAGTCCGAAGGGAGTAATGATGTCGGTTTTCGGTATGTCGTCAGTGGCCATGGTAATTTGGTTAGGCTATAACCAAATCGATTTTCGAAAAGACAGTTGTACTTTCCAAGGTAGCTGTCAAGTCGTGAATGTGGAGCAACGGGTAACGATCGGGAATGGTTTTCGTATTCAATCGCCGATAACCACCAGTTGGACGCCAATCGTTGCTGTCCTTTTTAGGGACCACGTGCAACGGAGATGCATGTGAGCTATTTGACGGTCGTATGATTCCTAAGTTTATCATGTGGTCGAATTCGTTTTTCGCCAGCCTTAGCTCTTCGGGAGCCAGTCGGGGTGCTTTCGAGAATACAGGCGGTCCTGTAGTCGTCATGTGATGTGTAACGTTGCTGGTTACACACGGTTGTGTTTGTTGAATCCCAGAATACTTATCGAGTAGTGGTTGATAAAGTGGGTCTATCTTGTGCTTAATTGTGACTGGAGATAATCTGCAATCAGAAAAAGGAGTTACGCAAACAGATAAATTAGTGCTTCAGTCTATTAGCCTCCGTTTGAGCGTATCGATGAGTAGATTTCGGTGTTGTTGCAGGTCTATAACAATGATTGGCATAGAAACATCTGCAACAACGAAAATCCAGTGTATCGGTTTGCGTAAACCCACGTCAATGTAAAAGTACCTTTTACCATATGTTGTGATTGGCTTTCCGTTTGCATCTTGTAAGTCTAGAACCGATTCGTGAGGACGATCGTGAGAATTTGCTGGAAGAATGCCAACTTCTGCGCTAGTGTCGACGAGGTAGCGAACTTTCGTCATTACATCTGTGACGTATAAAAGACGGCTGTTTTCGTCGGCTACGTTTGCCGTTAACACTTGTCTGCTTGGAAGTTTCCCGAGTTGTTTTTCGTGTCGGTGGGTTTTGAGTTGGGAAAATTCCAGGATTTTCTGCAATTTCTGGGAGACTTTCCATACTGTTTGTGATACCAACACCATTCGGGGTTAACCGTCTCTCGTGGTCTAGAAGTTCATGAGTTGGAACGAGGGTGGGGACATAGTCTTAATCTTAAATACCTTGGGGGTCTGTTCAGCCATAGGGGAAAATTAAGTACGAGAATACACGAGTGTAAAATATATAGATATCCAGAAACGCGGGAAAAATATCACAATGTATAGAAAAATTAAAATAAAGCAATGGTATATAGAATCCCAAAATGGAACAGACTCACAGTTTACGATTTGGTGTACCATATCACGTTAGGCTCACCAGTGAAGATGACACAGGTATTCAGTGTTTGACAACGCTTTCACCAGTAACAATTTCTAGTATAACTCGTACCCACCAAGAGAAATCAAGACAGAATCAAGCGGATCAGAAGTTGTATTTGACGATTGCCAATATATCGGAATTGTCTGATCTAGTCTGGCTAGCGATTGCAGTAGATGTTGAGCACGGCCTTCCCACACGTGATCTGGTGCGGATGCATGGCCGAGCGCCTTCAGTTAGGTGAGTCCACTAAAACTAATCTGGTCAGCATCCAATGTCGAAAACTCACAGAGCTATTTATTTTGTGGATTTATTTACCGCTACAATCCGAATGATTTCAGAATAATAATTTTGAGTCTGAATATTTCTTCGCATCCCACCATTCTTGACATCCGGTTTATGGATTTCGGATCGTTAGTTTAGAATAATTCTGAACGATTTATCTGTAATAATTACAAATACATTCCTTAGTCCTGAAGATAACTTGCTCTCATTTATCAATCTAAACAACTGCCAAATCGGACACCATCAAAACACATATAAATATAGCTAAATGTCTGAAACTGCTTGTTCGGACCAAGCTGCAACTCCAAAGAAATGGGTTCGTATGCCTACTTGTCATAAAATGTTGAGTGTAGGTGATACTAAAATTTATGGATGGCTTTTGAGCGGCACCGTGATGACCTTTGGAATGTCCACCTACTTACTAGTGCTAAATGAGGGTTATAAAGCATTTTGAAAAATAAGGATTATGATTTACAACTGATGGTTGAGTATCGGAATCAGATTTATGGTTTTCATCACGAACTGACATCAGCTATTGTGCCTAAACGCTATTCGGACAAATGGGTGTTTGAATTGCACCTAGATTTAAGATCTGTTACTCTAAATCTGATTGGTTGGTTCATAAATTATAGTCTCACATGAATGTATAATGTAATATGTATATTGTAGCTCTCATAACGTTTATTATGTATACCAGTTATCCACTTTCTAGCTGCCGGAATGACGTTTAACACATACTTATGATCAATAGAAATGGGCCTCGAATTTTTCCCAGGCGAATTTTGAATATTGAGTAACCGAGGGTTATTCAGTTTGTTAGTGGCGTGGTCGAAATGGAAGCGGGTCTACTTATAGGCGCACAGACACTTACATTTCCTGACTATCCGGATATTGAGAAAGCTTATGTATCTCATCTGTCGTCATCTACTCAGTCGAAAGCTCCGGAAACACTGGTATTCTGTAATTTTCTCGCTAACATTTCAAGAAAACGGGGTCTTTGGCACAAGAAATTCAAAAAGCTAGAGAGCATATCAAAACATCCTTGGATCGCGTAAGTGTGTCAACCAAACTGCCAGATTAAAAGCCTTAAAAATTTCTGTCTGGTTACCTAATCTCCGTATTTCGGGATTTTCCACAAAGTTGTAAGAAATATCGTAGTTTTGTCCAAACTTTGGGGAGACTTTTGTGAAAACTCCGAATTGTTATAAGATTCTGTAGAAATGTTCGGGAGAACCAAAAATTTCTCCATAACGTTGGGGATTTTTTCCCCAGACCTGTGGAAATTTTGATGTTTTTGTGCCATTTCACGAATGTTTTCTATTCCAGTTTCTACAAAATTTTACTGATGTTTCCTCAAAACAAGGAGAATGGGTTGGTTACGTTGTCAGACAGTCTTTTAATGTGAATAAATTGATCAGGATGTGATGTTTGGTATGGAAGTAGTCACGATTATTGATTTCAGAACCTAAGGTATATTTTGTGCACTTGGTTTGGTGATCTATAGGCTAATAACGTATTTATAAAAAAACTAGGACAGTCTGCTTACACCTCTGATTACTCTATAGTGTGTATAAACATCCGGATCGATTACCAGATGTTGGTGGTTGGCTAGCAGTGATACTCAGCACGAGCGTTTCGTTCTATTTGTGGCGCACATATACATAAAGGGAATGGTGGATTGCAGGCCAAAACATCGATATGAGGATTCAATTGACCAATTCATCCGGGTTTATGCATGTACTAGTCGTTTTACAGACGGGAATTTTTTGGAACTCGGAAACTAATTTTGGTGAACCATTTACTACTTTCTAGCCATTTACAGGTTTAGCCTATCAGTCATTCCTAAATATAAAAGTTTAATCCATGAAATGGAAATTGGGCCGTTGTAACGCAGTATCTACTTACCATACCATTATTCACATAATGAAATTATAAACAATATATATCTTTTACATGGCATGACTGGTTTCTGAATCATCGTTTTTTGCTACGTGTACCCACAGCGACTATAGTGATGACCGAGTAGGGTCTTCCTGGGAGACTTTAATTTACGGACGACCTTTGGGTTTTGCTAAATTGACCTCGAGAATGTCTGCTCCAACTAAGACTAAATGAGGGTTATAAGGTAGTGTCAGGAATTAGAGTTATGACTTACAGTTGGCCAGGGTTATAATCTAGATTTATGGTTTCCATCACGAACTGACAGCCAAGATGCTAAAACTATTTAACCAAATGGATGGATAAATTTCGCGTCAAAATCCAAAATTTGTTGTCTAATACCTGGTTGCTTTGTACATAAAATATACTCTCGCTGGTTTCCCAACATAATTATCACTTATGCTAAAATAAACGTTTATTTCATCCCAAAATTCCTTCAAGCACCTGGATACATTACTTTAAATAAATAATCTGGCTTTCTAGAAGATTTCTCCCCAATTTTTTGAGTATCTTAAACAGACCAGGGTTGACTTAATTCTGTATGTGGTCCAGTCTTTATTAGAAGAAACAGATTGCGTAGCAGAAGAAATTCCTGTTGAAGTATTTCATCCCATATCATTAAGGGTATTCATATCTTATATGGTTAATTGGTCATTTTAACAAGAAAAACAAGGATATTTGCTTGCTGATAGTCAAAGAGGATCACAAATTAGTGCGAAGAATTCGAGTTAGGATTTTCATTACAAACTGGCACCAACTATGATACTAGAACGTCATTTAATCGTATGAATTTGTGAATTTTGCGCCGTAGTCCAAGACGTGCTATATGTAGTCTCGTTGGTTCTTCCAAAAATTAGTCTCCAATGTTTAAAAATGGTGTGTTGTAATTGACTCGGTTCATTTAACCGACTAATACTCATGAATCACCAATAAATTATTTGTGTTCGTTGTTGATAAAGTTTTTTGTAAATACCCATAGGTCCCTGTGGAGTAGCTTTTCGATATCACATCAAAATATGTTAGACAGAAAAACTAGTAGGGGTGATGATATCAATTCTAGTTCAAATCGAAGTAATCAAAGGTTAACAAACTTAAGAAAGAAGTTTTATCACACTGCTCACATATGTGTTGGTTCAAAGGTTTACAGCTTTTTTGAAGCGTATTGACACTGTTAACATCGTAGTTTAATAAAGTTTGTTGATCCACAATATTGCATTCAATTGTTCCAAGACATTCATTTCCAGACGCATTACCATCCATTGCCGTAGTCGAGACCCGTGTTTTCTGTAGTGCACGTGAGTCAAGGATGTTTCGTGATATTATTTTGTCATTTCGAGAAGCGCTTTTTAAAACGAGATTCTTTTTTTGTCTTCTGCTTCCTTAGGTTGCTGTATCCCGACCTTTCGACGTTGGACGTCTTGATGAACTTGAAAAACGTAAGTCGTTCCCTCCAGTAATGATATTTTTATACTGACTTTAATAAACGAAGACTTTATGTTAAATAGGTGACTGCTTTAATTTATTTGGATGTTCAGCTGTATAGCGACTTGAAAAATGCGTATTTCAGAATTGTGTTTTTAGTATGATAATAAGTTGTATAGTAAATAAAATCCATACTATTGATTTTGTTAAATTCTCTATTACTCGGTGGTAATTGATAGAATAGGTTTTTTTATTGTGACTTATTTGTTCATTAACTTACACTTTGTTCTTTTGACTTCAGTCTCTATCTTGTCTTGTTCTACATAAATCGCTTTTGTCCTACTAATATTCATCTCTACTTACGAACCCTGCTTGACTATTTAGATAAGCTTTCATACAGGTTTATCATTTTGTCATCACTTCTCGTTAGGTGGCGTCATTGTATACTGATGTTTTCTTTCATAGTATAAGTTCTCAGTTACTACTGATTTAATCTTTGTTTACTTCAACCAAAAACCTCAATTATACTTCTGCGGCTTTAAAGAATTCCAGTGACTTGGCAGATTCATTTGAGCTAATTCTTTGATCAATCTGTTTTTCTTAATTTACGCTAGAGCTAGGCTTTGTTGTGCGCCTAGCAAACAGTGACCCGTAGTGTTTAGCACATAACTAAATCACTCATAATAACCTCAGTTCAGAGGGAATGACTGTTCCATTATAAGCTATTCTATTTCTGAACATCCTAAGACTCCAATGAATGGCTGGAAGCCAGTGATAGGATCTTAATTAAGTGAAAAAACAATAGATCTTTGAAATTTTACTTCTGGGAACATAATGACGATCATTTTAAGAAATTAAAATATGAAATCGGTTAAATTTAACAAGTAACAACTTTGAACATTGATACACGAACTTTGGATCCCATAATAAAAGATCAATATTAGACAAACAATCACCATCACCTACATGTAGAAATATGGTTTAAAAAATGCCTGTTTCTTTTGAAGCCCACGTTCAGGCTTCGATATGCTTTGGTGGATGCAAATGAGTCCGCGTCCTCCTTGGACGCAGTGATATTACCACAGAGGGTTAGCGCACTCTTCATTTCTAAAGAATTAGTAGTGTCACTTGTTAACCTATCCGTCATTATTTCGTTTCTCGTTATCACAACCGTCGAGGTTTTTCTGTTTCATTTTTAAAATGTTGTTCAATTTTAATGATAACGATCACACTTTTCATATAGTTGTTACCAGTCTTGTTAGTCGCATATCAGATCTGGAGTCACGCATAAGCACTATGAAGTTGAGTAATGATCCTCATGATGTAGTTGGAGAAAAATCAGATTCAGAGCCTGATCTATTTGGTTCAGACAGCGAGGTATGTAACTAAAGTTTTCCAAACTCCTTCAGGAGGATAAAGAAGCTGAGCGTATCAGGAGTGAGAGAGAAGCCGAATACCTTGCAAAAAAAGCTCTAAGTAAGTTTTGATTTTAAAATCCGCCCATTTAGACACATAAAACTGGCTAAGTTTTTTTCATTCACACTGCTTCAGTAGTTAAGGTGTTAAGCTTATTGCCATTTAGTCTGTACTTAGCTCCTACTTTACCTTAAATGTGACTCGAAGTTAGGTATACGAAACGTATTTGGTATATAAGTCAGTTGAAAGTTAAGAAGTATTGACACATTACTTATGATTATTCATGCGACTATTCATACGCTTACCCTAATAGCTGTACAAATTCATTAAGTTATGTCGGTTTCTACAATAGGCAATTGTAGTGTTGTTTTAACACAATTAAGATAAAATGAGGGTATTTATGCTTCTTTGATCAATAGATACTATAGCAGTAATGCAAAATAATATGGTTTATGTTCTGTATTTAAACTATTTCAAAGACCTATCCCGATGTGGTCCCAAAGTAGTCGTTCGTCATTTCAAGCTCCTTCATATTATGCTGATGTATTTACGTAAAGTGATCTGTATTTGTATGAAGTCTTACACTGGCTTATCCCTACTAATCTCGACAGAGAATTGGTGATAGTTCGCGCGTTTTCCATTGTATTCACTGATTACACTTTATGATTGCATTTCAAAAGACCCTAAGCTATTCAAGTTAACATCGATTGGATGAGTTAGTGCTATCGTTTAATCAAATAACTATGGATCTAATAAAGCTGGTACAACTTCATTTAGGTAGGTAAAAACGTCCTCAAGACGTGGTCTAGTCATGCTGGTAAACTTTACGTTTCACTAAATAGTCTAAGCTGTTTGAGTAGCACTTCCTAGTTGATTATAACAAAACTTGTTCCATAATATGTGTAAAGCTTAAGAACATTGCAAGGCAATTATCTGCGACTTGTAGATTATTCAATTCCAACCCGAATTTTTTACATGATAGCTACTAAACTTTCGTGATGAGACTCAGAATTTACATATATTCCATGATGGCATAATACCAGCGTAATAGTATTGGATCTAAAACACTTGTATGGTTTATTGTATTTGTTACTAATTAATGTTTGCGTCAGTGTTCGTTGTGAATTTACTCATCAGAGTAGAGAAAATTAAGTTTAATTTTCCTCTCGTGAAGAAGATTGTGTGAAATTCTGATTGAATTCAATTGATTACGACGTGTAATTACACTGCTAGTAATATGAACTGATAATAAAGAAACTTTCCGAGACCTGTAAAATGACATCAATCATTAATCAACTTGTATTTATTTATATTTTTCTTCACTTGCATGGAGTTTGTTAATTACTATTTATTAAGTGTTTGTATATACACCAACTTATTTTATTTAGAGCCTGTTGTGGCGGCAAAGTCAAGTATCACCCTCGATGTGAAACCATGGGATGATGAAGTAGATATGGAAGAACTTACCTCTTTGGTGAAAGGTATTAAAGTAGATGGCCTTTTATGGGGTGCATCCAAATTAGTGCCCATCGCTTTTGGCATAAAGAAGCTCCAAATCTGTTGTGTCGTTGAAGATGACAAGGTTAGTTTATACTACGAATCACTGAGACTATTATGTGTAGGCAATCTTTTGCATTACTATTTTGTCCAACACTAAAATCACAATTTTTTTTACAAGTAAGCGTTTTCACTACTTGTTGATTTGACATCTAAGCCCAGTTTGATCACAAAGTTAAATAACATTAGGTGGTAAAGCTAATCAAATCTAATATCTATGTAATAAATTCCTACTTCTGTTTGCTTTCAGGTTGGAACTGACTTCCTTGAAGAATCTATAAAGGAATTTTCGAAACATGTCCAATCTGTAGATATTGTATCATTCAACAAGTTGTAATGAAAAACAGGAATTGTAATATATAATGGACCGAATCAGTAAACGTCCGTCTTTCAATGTCCTTGTTCTAAAATTGGGATAATTTGCTATTAATCTTATTCGTAATGTATTGCACAGCGCCTTGTCTCCGCAACGCATACTGAAAAACTGTTGTATGCAGTCGAGAAACGATTAACGCGAAAGAAACTAAGCGTCTCTCCTCACAGCAAACCCAGTATGTATAATAGCGCAATAATTAGGCAGGTTACGTTTTTTAAACGTAGCGACCAGTGTAGCTTTTTGAACGGATGTTTATTTCGTCAGCGCGAGTGGACCTGAACTGAGTTCTTTTTTTGCAAATGTTTAGCCTAATGTACAATACAATACTTACCAGCCTAGTTATTTTTAATAAGTACTACATTAACTGATTACGATCCGCTTCAAAGAAATATCTGTACTTTTGTATGAAGATAAAATAGTGATTTTAGGTAAATTTTCCCTGATGTATCTCTCCGAGGAAAACTATCTGTCAATTTCCAGCCGATTTAAAATACCCTGTAATACTGCTTAACCTTAATAAGGTTTGATAATATATGTAAAGTACAATGTTGAGTAATTATTGATCAAAATGCTCTAAAATTAAATGACAGTGGATTGTTGTAGGATACTAGTAGAATCAGTGAATGAAAAAAAACAATCTATGGATATATTACATCTTCAATGTTCAGTTTAACTAATTAATTGATCATATTCTATATAGGTGTTATCGATATTATTCTTGAATTCAATAGATGTTTTTAATTCCATGATTAATCAGTTTGCTATATCGTTTAAGTATCCTAGTTAAGTATTTCGCCAGATTGTATGTCGGTGAATTTGTGAAATCAACCACTGTTCTTTGTGATGTCGTTCAGAAGAACGATAAAAGCTCCACGACCAAACCATCGAGCTCAGAGAACAAAACATCATTAAAATCTGTTACAGTACTATACTGGCTCAGTTGATTCAATGTCAATAGGAACTATTTATAGCATAGTTAATAATAATCAAGTAAATAGAAGCAAACCAGTGCGTTTTCTATGCCAAAAGGTATAAATGACATTTTGTAAGATAATAAATATATTGTAAGTTTTCTTTTGAGCATGCAAAATCAAAACAAAAAAAAGCAAATAGCAAAATAATCCAATTATCACGGTCGGCATCTCTGTAAGAGTTGTATACACATATAAGTAGCCGGTTTCTTCTGTTGTGTGTATATGTATCATACATGCCTGTATTCACAAATATTATTATGATGGCGGTTTAATTTGGGTCTCTAAATATATATAACTGAGCGAATAAACTGGAAAAAACAAAACGAATGTAGAATGCATGTATAATATACTAAGCAGTAGTTTAAAATAAGAATGAGCAAATTGGAAACTACAATTCATACATTACCAAAATAGGAAATGGATAGTAATGTGAAGCGATAAGTTGTCAACATGATTTGAAGACGCTAGCAGCACATTCTATTACTGAGACGGCTCTTTTTCGCAACGGATAGTCCATAGTAAATAACAAACCAGGTTTTAGTGAAAATCATCGATCTTATTCAAAGATAATTTCTAACTGCATTAATAGTCCGTTTGGTATGTAGTCCGATGAATTGTGCTAAGCACTGATCTACGGAGTCTATATATTAGAGAAAAAATTTGATGCATCACACTTGAAATCTATTCTGTGGAATATTGCCGGAGGAATAAGTAGGAAAATCTGGTTGAAAACAGTTGTGAAGTGGATTTGATGTTAACTTTATGTAACACAGAGTGTACATCATATGAAACGAATGAAGATTAAGAATAAAGGTTGGAAGCTGCTTACTAGCAAAACTTAAAATTTAAGTTGTCGCCAGTCTTGTTTGTTGAGCTAGTACAGATACATTGTGGAACTGAATGCTTATTCTCCACATAAAGATCACAGTTATTGCGATGATTGCTTATATCATATCCGCATAGCGCCAGATATTTCAAGTACTGCAATGATCACCCTCTGATCCGTATGGAATTTTACTTATGGCCTCCTGTCTAACTCAACTCAAACTTACAATGATTCATTGGTACTGTCATTCAAAGTTTATCTTGTGTATATCCATATACTGAATATCTACTGGTATCCAATGCAACAGCTGATGACCATCATCAACACGAAACATTTCTTCATTCTTTTGTTACTGGTCGTATGACTTGGGCTGTACGCTTGAATTATATTCCAAATGGCTCCGTTTTCCGAATTCTGAATTTCCGTACACTGCCAGTATAGTATGCAATTGCTTACAAATGATTGTTCACTATGTAATGACCGATGTCACGTTAGCCTCGTCTTTTAGTGCTGACCAAATTGCAATGTGGCCACTAATCTGAGTGACTCGGTAACGCATGCGCTATGTTGGGATATTAAGATAACTGACTAATCAATTTTAGATATCTCAGTGGTGATGTCACAGACTAGGACCTGGGAGTGCGGGTTGGATTACCACGGGAAGCGTTAGTTTCCTCTAGAGTGTAGTTAATATCTTGCTGGTAAGTCCCAACTAGTAAGAAACCCAGATCCATGGTTCCCTCCCGACTATCCCCAACCAAATAACATACAACAACTTGAAATTTTGAACAGACTATCTAATTCAAACTTACATCGTCAGCTCCAAAGACAGCTCGGCCATCTCGAGTGCGCTCTTGTGCTTTGAATGTTTCGAAAACAGTGGATAGTCGGATCAATAACAAAATGTAATCATCAAATAAAATTTGACCTTTTTCATTTGCATATCGACAAGCGATAGCCTTGAAAATCATATTACTGACATGAAAACCTAATACGGAAAAAAGATTTTCGTATACGATCATAACCGTATTATTGAAAAGAAATTTGTTAGTTTTGTGATACTTAAAATATAGGAATTAGAGGATTACTTGATAAGTAGAAGAAATAGCTTGTATCAACTAAATTAATTGTCAACGTTTCATGCTGTAAATCCATATTTTCGTGAATTGACCGATTAATTTTTGTCACACTCCTGGACTATTTTGTTTCTGTACAATGCTTTAAACTTGTTTACTTTTTTTAGTAGCATGAACACGCGATTAATAGACAGAATGATAACTATCGCGTGTAACGGCATAATAGGAATTAAAATGCATTACTACTAAGTCCAAAGAGTACATAAGATCACTCACCCACTGGATGGTTATGAAATGTATTATTGTCTAATAGCAACAATAAGATGCCGGACTATATGGGACTACAAGGATTATGTTCGATGCATTCACGTTACAAATAAAAAGATGAGGTGATTGTATTATAAGTTTGAAACATAAGTAGGTAATAACTAACTAACTGATTGTAATGGTCGAAAATACGAATACAGTACTGTACACACGATCTGTATAGAATACCTAGAGTACACTATTGATCAAGACAATGCCTCCAAAAAATTTGGACGAAACACAGCTGGATAAATATTGCAACCAAGGATTAGAAATGCTTGGTAAAAGATCGATTAATCCTGGTAATTATTCGTCACTACTATTTTAAATCGCCTGTCCACGATTACCACTGTATAATTATGTACAGTTAGCTTTTTTGTTTCAATTATTGTTGTTAGGATGTGCAGAAAAGTATACCAATAATTATCATGTTAAGTCTAATGGTGGCCTTGGACTTTAAATGTACACTCCCTATTGGTGGATATTTATTTCACTTGTTAAATATTGTACAAATGTTGTTTTCTATTTTATGGCACGATGTGGTCTGGTTGATTGGTATATAAATAGAGTATGTCTGAGATATAATGATTCATATCTCAGAGGCTAAGACTTGTGTTCTGGACTCAACTGGCTGGGCTAGACAGGGAAGCGGGACCAATCGAGACTCTAGGCCGTCCGTACGTGTTTTTCGTGTCATTGAATCGATCGATAAATACGCTGCTCCATCTAATCAGCAGTTCACGCGTTACAACAATTGTATGGTTACGACTAGTACTTTGCAGCTAACATGTTTTAGACTAAACATAGAAAATAAGGTACACATACACATTAATATCATTTCTTTAAGTCAGGAGTTATGATTTCATTGTACTTTGAAAATCCTGAGTGTTTTATATATCTTTGACTCTTAGTGTAAACTGACATACTTCGATGTTTTTTGATAGAATTTTCGACCTCATGATAAAGTGGAAGTTCCCAACTGTTCGGATTCTTCACTTCAGATGGTCTTAGAATCCAATCCTGATTTTTAGAGGTTTTCATTTTTAAGAATGGATTTCAGATTACATCGCCTTGTTGGAAACTGGGTATTTGAATGGGTTTGCTTTTCACAGAGTCAACAATATGTATCGTCCGACTACATTAATCCATAGATCATGTTAGGCTTTTAGTCTTTGTCATGTATTGCTTTCTTCTATTATCAATTATGTTTATGAGAAATTTGGTTTACGTGGTAGCAAATAGTATTTCCCCACCTGTGAAGTAGTGGCTTAACAGTTAAGACATTCGACTTATAGACATTAAGTGACAGGTTCGAAGCCGGTTTAATCTACTTCGCTTTAAGCGACCGAGGATGCACACTTAATCTGACTCGAGGTCAAGTACACGAATATGTACCTGGCAAATGAGATAAAAGGACTTCTTTCACTCACCGATGGTCCTCATTACATTTCTTAATTCGAAAGCTTCTAAGCTACCAGTATGACCTTCATCGAATTTTTTGAAAATAGTCTGAAATAATGAATTGTCGGGTTTAGAGGAAATGCAAATAAAAAGTTAGAAATATTCATTATCAGTTTCATGCATAAATCTAATCTTAAGGAAGGAATATTTTAGGTTTGAGAAAAAGAGAGTCACTACAAGTCTACTTCTAAATTAAAAATTCAAACAAGATTTGATGATTAGCTACCACTTTCATGACAGCGATGGAAATAGTAGTGTATAACAGTTGTTCAACGTATTCATTCGGATTGAATTGCTTAACTCTCTTGTGATTTTATGATAAGTTACGATTACTTTCAACATTCACTGGTTAATTAATTCCAACAAATGTTTGGTATCATTAAAAACCAAGTCGGCTTTCTCTATTCGGATTCAAAATAAACATGTTTATCTTTATTATATTATGAATTCTAGTTTAGTCTTCGCGTCCAAACCACAATTAAAAGACTTCAGCAAGTATAATGATCGATACTACCTAGATATCTGTATACAGTGGAAATTTAGTTATTGAGGGAGTAGTGTTGCATAATACTAGAGACGACCAGATGTGTCTATCTACTCAAGAACGTTAATATTTTAATCGTTCAAAGTAGTACTGTGTTTGGAAGTGTCATTTATTTCACTGGTGAACCTCATCATGGACAATTGACAGATATGATTGGAAGTAGTTATCCAGATGATATTAACTTCTGTTTAGTACGTTCGTTTCCAAATACTGTTCCTAGGATGGGAACATTGAAAAAATCAAGCCAAAATGACAGCTGTTTGTTGTGGTACAAGAACAAAGATATTATGTGAATGTGTTTGGATTTGTATTAATGTCGAAACCAAAAATGATGGCGCATTAATGAATTTATTACAAGGATAATATGAGAATTTTCATTTCACTCTATGTCCGGCGCTTTAACCGGATCCCAAACCAATGGTGCACATGGGCTCCAGTATCCTGCGGGAACAAATGGCGTATGAACCAATCGTTGGTCACCGACTACCATGGGAATGCATCTCCTCACGATGCTCCACTGCCTTGTGGATCAGACCTTTAGGTCACAGGCTCGGGGTGTGGCTCCCTAAGAAAACCACCTGCTTCGATCTGGGCACCCGGGCAGTATCACAGCCTACACACAAATATGGTGTGGCCCATATATATTTGGTGCTCTCTTGTACCAATATTTATGTGTTGAAATGAATAAGTCTTCATTCTATTCGTTTTGTTCTAGATCATACAGTTATTATATGAATAAAAATATTATCATTCTCTATAATTAACTAGGTTACAATAGAAATACACGAATGAATCAATTCAAAATTCCCAAAACACTAACAATATTCTTGACGGTGGTCGTCATTCACGTTAAAATGGAGTAGTTGACACAGGCGAAAATATTATATCAAATTATACTTTTAGAAACGTACTATAAAGCATGGTAAATTTTTAAAACAATTTATAAGATGAAAGTACCTTCCAAATGCGTAGTTCCATCCATAGCTTTTTGAATTCATCAAAGCCCAAACCACCGCTTAAATCAGCCTATGTATCATTACATGTTATTATGGAACATGGTCAAGGATAATATAAACAATTTGATTAGTCATAGAACTAGGGATTAAAATGTACGTTCATTTTATAACTACTACAAAGCCAATGATAATCCAATAAAAATTAAATCCAATCTATTTAGGTGGATTACAGTCCTAAGCAATGTAGAACTTGGCACATATGCATCGATTCAAAATGTTACATCATATTAGCACAACGAGATTAACAAAATCAAATGCCAAAATTGTAGAAGTAATATAAACTGGATTGCCTTAATTAATGAAGTGTAGAATCAAACTCTACAGCTGTCATTCTCCACAAATCGCACACTAGAAGTAGTTACAAACAAATAGAGTAAGAATGGTGTTAGGTAACAGGAATTTAAAGCAATGATATCAGAGGGTAGATGGGGAATGTAAGTCGGACTAGTGAAACATGAGGAGTAGTATCCAATAGTCTAAAAACGGAGAAAATACGATTTTCGTGGTGGGATGTGGTCAGAGTTGACCATGTGTTCATGGATTGAAGTATTGATCGATTTGCATTCTCCTTCACATAGCCACACAGAGTACCATTCAGATATTTGCTTACCAAGAGCACTCTCAATCCTTGAATACACGATCAGCTCTGGTCACATTCCAACCGGAGAATCATTGTTGTAAATGATATGCAAAGTAAGAAAAACTGGCATAAAAAAGGTTTGGATAAAAAATTGTACAGCTGAGGCTATAGAAATGCACCATTTCAAATCCAACCTCTGTGTAAGAAAAGAGTCATGTTCGATGCCTTATTTTTCCATGGTTCCAGCACGCCTTGGAATTTTACAAATCGTAAGTGCTAATTATCATTTTACCCTCAATATTCTTTTTTTTAAGGTAGACAGTTATTATTTGCTTTTATTACATAAATTATCACTTCTTGTTACTTTCAAAACTATGACAGTTTTTGATTACTTTGATAAATAATGCAGCACTCAGTTTATTCAATACTTGGAATTTCTTGGTAATCTTGATTAGATTATGCGATACCACTTCATTTTCATTGACTTTCACACCCGATACTTGAATAAGTTTGACTATCTTCAATGATTTATAACAGAGAGTGTTACTATATACAATATATGTATATAACTTATGAATACAATTGTACAGCTTTAGACAATGATGTTGTCGAGAAGAAAATTTTTACGCTGAAACGTTTTCATTCTTTTTAAAAATGAAACCGGTTGCCAAATGTCTCAAATTATTTGAAAAGAATGATAAATGAGATGAGCATGAGTGAAAAGGATTAAATTATCGGTTTAACAGTGTAGACGTCAATTTTAACAATTGACATAACATTTTGGATAGTACCTTGAGTTGTATTTTAAATCAACATTTAACTTATCATTCAAGTCAAGTAAAATGTGATCATATCTAAGGAGCAAGAACACTCAGATCATTGGTACCAAATTTATATGGATATGTTATTGTAAATAACAGAAAAAAGCAATTGAATTCATCTACGTGTAAGAAGAAAGTATATCAAAAATAATGTGTTTCGGAATTTGACTCATGTCATGAAAGCATTTCCATACAATGCTCAGCTGTGTTTAAAAAAAAACGATGAAGTGGCTAGCTGTATAATGCGTCTAGTCCTTTCTTTCAGTTATTCTTCCAGTTAATGTCATTTTCTAATTGTGAAAATTGCTGATTTTCTTAGTTTGCATAACACATTGATAATCATTAAGAACCTGAATACACTGAGTAGCTGTTTCATTCTGATAATAGGGTTCTTCAGTAGTGTACATCTACAACCTTAACGGAGACCGAATCCAGAAACTCTAAGTTTTATGGAGAGCACATCTACTGGTTTATATTGTCTAACTTCAGTCATTTCGCAATATTGCACAACCACCTTTTAATAAATTTTATTATTACTAATCTCCAACGTTTATTGCAAAACTGCTAGTCTAAAATTGAATTTCCATAGACAAAATTAAAAATAAAAGGATACATCCATTAAGGCCATCATACTTCTAGCAGTTTCTCGACTAAATCCATCGAATGGAAAATCTAAGTAAGAAAAAAATCAACAGAAATAAATTAAAGAAAATTGAATCAATTAAACTATTCCATTGTGAACTTTTTCTGAGTTGGGTTAGAAAGTATTCATTTTTATCAGAAGGGATTCGTGGAGATTTTAGAAATTTCACAGATTGAAATCATGAGTCATTTGAAGCTAGACCACCATGGAAAACCTGGAAGCACTGGACGGCCGTTTCGTTCTACTGTGGTCGTCCAGTGCTTCCAGGTTTTCCATGGTGGTCTAGCTTCAAATGACTCATGATTTCAATCTGTGAAATTTCTAAAATCTCCACAAACCTCTTCTGATAATAATCATCTGCTCACTAGTGACTGACTTCAAGAGATACTCCTGGAGTTCTAGTGAGAAGCCGTTACCAGTGGAGTTCAACCAGGTCTGTTGTGAGATATCAGCTCACTGAAGACAATGGTGTACGATGGCGCAACTTAGTGGATCGGTTGAAGTTAGACATTAACACCATTGGATGACGGCTCAGTATTCATTTCTAATGTATACTATAACCAACAATAAAAGATGATCTTTGTTCATCATTAATTTGTTTTTTTTCTTGTCACGTATTATCTGATGTATGTGATAATTCAACGTTGATACTATTGAAGAGATCCAAAGAATGCCTCGGAAAATTTCAGAGGCTCTGAAAACGCTAGGAAACATTATATCCATTCAGAGTTGAACAGAAGCTTCTCAAAAACATGTAGAAGGGGAGGAGTTGCGATCCACGTTTCTGATTGAATGGTTATCTAACCTGCTACTATATTTAGTATGGTTTCAGGAACTTCCGAGAATTTAAGGCCATCTGAAATACTATAAATACGCTCGACTTTCTGTACATGAACAAACGTTGGAGTAAAACGTTATTTTCAAACTTCGCGCCTTTTCCTCTTATTTTCAAGTTGCCATGTAGATCTAGCCTGAGGTTATCAGAAGAGCTTAGGAAACCGATTCAAGAGTTGGATTAGAATAGTGATTAGATACACGATACGGCCATAGAGTTTATTGACATTTTTTAATTGATAAATGAATAATAAGCTTGGTTTGAAATTTCATCTTTTAATGATCAGCCGCTACTCAATAGTTTTCAGTTATCTTTTAAGATAATCAATTTTGAACTTCTGGCGACAGAACTTATGTTATCTATAATGAATCCCTTAAAATTTACATATTCATATAAAACTGATAAAACCATTTGCTATTCATGATATTTTGAGATAAAACAATTTTCACAGTAAATGTATCGACTAGATAGATAAAAAGTTTAGTGTTACCTTTTTGAAGCTAATCGGAAGAAAACTCTGAAATAGTCTTTTTCGACTGAAGGCATTTATTTGAAATAGTGTCCCATAGTGCTGTAATTACAGTCACTATATTAAGTTATTTAGATTTCAGCTCATATGTGTTTTGATATATATACATTGTATTGTGAATAAGTTGTACAACATTTATTCCCCACTCGTAAATTGTGTCAATACAGTTGGTATCATCTACATAACTTGTTCGTTTGAAGTCATCTGCAACACCTTCAGTGTTTGCAATGTTTCATCCAGAACTTTTAACTAATGTTCTGTTTGTTTTATGTAAGTGGTGTGTATTAGAAAATAATTATCATGAAAGGCTTCATTTCAAACCTTAAGTTTCATAAATATTTTTTTTCATTGTGTTGATTTGTGCTATACTGACAGTTGATAACAGACAGTTATGGATAATTCCAGGCATTTAAAATGGCTTGTAAAAATTAAACTTAATTACGCAGCACTTATTCACTAAATGGATGAAACAATTGTCTGAAAACGTTAGGTGTAACACACTGTATATTAAAAACACTGCAGATAACCTTCGTCATATTATTCTGAATAACTCAGATATGTTTCTGATCGCATGAATATATATATTTTTATTGTATAATTATTAAGTAACTAGGTTACTATATGTATATTCCTTTTATTATGAGTTTCCGGTTAACCCATTAACTAATCCTTTGTCACTTTATTATTCACAGTAACTTCCCTGATCACAACCACTTTTCGGCTTGATCATGTATAATTATTTCGTATTTTATGGTCGAGTATGTCGGTACATAAACTCAATATGTTTAAAATATAATATTCGTGTTGTTCAGATCGATTACTATGTTCTATAGGGAGAGAAGCTCCTGAATCTAGAATCAATAAGAACTTATCTTTGACACAAAGTTATTGGTGATGAGACGGATTTCGATTGTTGTTTTTGTCACGTGATATTGGTGAGTAGCCATCACAATATTCACATACAGTTACAACTAGTTTTACGTCATACGCATATATAGAGTGAGACTTAACGATAATACACATAGGATACAAACGAGAAAGGATTGCAGTGGACGTGACATAATTGTTCAAATTCTATGGGTTAACTCTAATATTATGATTAAAATATAAGTCTCTTGATTTCCAAACTGTACGAAAATAATGTGTTAGCTCTTAGACACGAACTACTATATTCGAATAAGTAACCGGTTTTGTTTTATTTATGGTTTCATTGTTAACATACACTTCCAAAATCTGAAAGATTAATTGATAAGCGTCTCAGGTAAATGATAATAATAAGTATAAATATCAACAGGTCATATCCCAGAAACTTGAGTATATATAGCATATATATGAATAGTAAGAGATTTTTAATAAATAAACTAACTCTACTGGAGATTACCTTTTGTAAATGCTTCATTTAATATATCTTGTAACTGAGTATATGTGATTGCTCCAGTTGGACCAGCTATTTTATTGAAGACAACTTGCAATTTCTCTATTAAATTATCATCAGCTGTTCTAATTGGGTGATCAGGCTATCAATATATAATAAAAAACAAAATAGAAGAGAACAGATGTAAATATCAACAAATTGAACACAAAGAAATAATATGAACAAATCTAGTAGTTAAAGTAAAAATTGATTAAATAGTAAGACTAGTCTTTACAACAAGAAAAAAATCCAATTACATTCGAACGTTCTTAAATGCTATGTGGATGTAATTGAAAGTAGACAGAGATACAACTTGATAGTTACTTGGGGGGTTAATAGCTAAGAACGGATTGTGTTTTATACAGTTAGTCATGCGCAATATAGTGCTTGGTACATATGTGAATCGTTTAAAGTTGTCAAAGCATTACAGCAAAGCGAAATGAAATTATCAAGACAAATTCCGAAGTAGAAGTAGTAACAGTATCAGTAACGGCAGTAGAAAAAAAAGATTAGTCATAAATAATATGAATTGAGAAGAAAGAATGAATTCGTAGAATAAGAGAGTAAAAGATCATTTTGAACCTCTGGACATAAAGGAAAGAAGTGAGTGAATACATCTGAGCTATTGTAACCAACTTCCATGCTTTGTATGGTTGTATATACAGGGCACCGAAATACGTTATCATTTAGCTTGATCATATATACTGTATATGCTCACATATACTATTTATCATTTGCATTCGATGGATATCGAGTGATTTCTAGAAAAGATTTTAAAGTATCAAATTAGTATACAGGTTTTAAACGACCAACTATATAATTATAAGTAATGTAGGAACATAGATATGTTTCATCACGACGTAAATCAGTTCTAAACTAAAAAATAAACTGGAACAAGTAGAATGAATTCTGAGTTAAATTAGTGAACCAATGGACTTAAAGATCATACACTTAAACGACTAAAGTACAACTTCAATCACACGAAAGAAACAATGGATTATCTAACATCATTTTAATTAGATCATTAAACTGTTCAATTCTCAGTTAAGTGAAATACTAATAGCCATTATTGTTAATTAACGATTTATGATAATTTTTATTTTTTTCTCGTCAATGTATCATAAAAAGCGTATTTACCCTAGGTGTGATGACCAGTGATACTACTCACCACCGCAGATTGAAATAAGTGGAGTGAGATTTGAACCTATTATCTAGTGGTTGCAATTTGAATACCTCAACTACTGAGCGATTGTTCCACTTAAAGTACGTTAACAAATTGAATGGATGAACCTAGCTGTACTGAAAGTCTAAAGTACGATCCAGAAAACTGGGTGATAGGTCTGCTACATTACAAACTAACTGAGGTTGAAAGTGTTGTGACTTCTAAGCCCGGCTAATTATCACACGACTTATTCGCCAATCGAAATACGACCTATATAAACTTAACACTGTGCCAAACCAATGACGTTCGACTGGTATGAGCAACCTAGCGCCCTTATTGGTCTTTATTCCTCCTAGCCCTGCCAGTTGAGTCCAGAACACTAATACCAGCTCCCACTATATGAATCACTTATTCCAAACATATCTGGTTTATAAAGAAGCCAACCAGACCACATCACACCATAAAATAGGAAATAACATTTTTACAAGATCAAGCCAAAAAGTGGGTGTGATCTTGGGAGACTGTAATTAATAAACAGAGTATAATTTAAGAATAGTAAATCGTATCATAATAGTCTATAGATCAAAATAAAGCTTATAATGAGAGGAATATGAATATACATGATTTAGTTACTGAATAGTTATACAATAAGAGTATATATATATAATATTACTCGATTAATAGTTCTCAGAAGCAACCTATAATTTAATCTTCACTAGGATATAACAGAAAGTAAGGACCATTACTGATTTGGCGATATAAAGGAAACGCCATTACCATGAGGTATGGATTTTCTAGGTTTGAATTCCAGCAGAACCACGGATGGGAACTCCTGTTGAATAGTTCAAGACTAAGATGAAACAACTGTCCAGTGAAAGATAATGATGTAGATTAAGTCAGTTCAAAATGCAGACAATTTCATAATTGAACAACTCTCCACGAAAAATTAAATAAATATTCAATCTAAAGTTAGCTTATCCAACTGAACTGATTGTTTATTTAATTTAGTTTCACTAAGTTGGTTTGACTGACTGATTTATATGACGGATGTCTGTGTGATTCAACCACTCAGTTTACAAATGTGTACATACATATAATAATAGATTACCTCAATGTGGATTTGAACAATCTACAAATAATTATAACATTCACCTTAGAAAACTAAACTAAAACGCAGCTTCAAGGAAGAAACATAGAAAGAGAAGTAATGAACCGTAGCTAACAACTAAAACTATTTGATGATGATTGGATTGTGATCAATAATTTTGCATGTCACATATTTACTCACAAATCATGCATTTGTCATAAAAGATAGACAAGGTGTTAGAAATATTGTATTAAAAGAACTTAAAATTTAATCTATTCTAATTTGTAACCAATAAACGCCTATTAAAAACTTTGTTTTAATAGAGTTTTTATAAGATAACAATGATAATAACTGATAGTCAGTTGTTTTAAATTAGCAGATTAAATGAGTTTAGTATATTTAAGCATTTAAATAGGGATAGATGGTTAGTTAAGAAGTTTGACTGTTGTCCAGTCGCTAAACACCGGGTTTTATACCCTACCTACATACTATAAATACTTTGATTCGATCGACCGAGTAGTACCATAGTGAACGAAAAATCAAGTAAAATCACAGTGTCTTTGTAAAATATGACAACTAGACGTTAAATGCATCATATGTACATCTTCCTTCAGTTGTCCTTTGCATAATCCATCATTCTTCTAATTCTGTTGTTATTCCGATTGTATTTCGTTTTGCTTCCTGTTCTCTTTGTTTCAATCTTCTGCTAGTGAGTATTCCACATCCTATTCCTAATATACACTATTTATATCTGTCCACATACGAGGAGCATACCACACTCATTCCCGCTTTAAAAAGCCGCTATTGCAATTGTTATGATAGCCATGGCGCTTTGTCATTAGTCAGTCTGTGCCTTGCTCCCTACCGAAATGTCGAGTTCACCGGCACACCGATCTCCGTAGCTCTGTCTACCGGTCGGACTATTTAAATCCGATGTCCGCCCAACATCCGAGACGTCCAATGTCTCCCTTACACCGACAGCGACCCACTGGGCAGCCTACATCTGATGTCCACCCGGCACATCCCACGTCTTCTCCAGTCAATGGCGACTGCTACATACAGCATCGCCTCGCCAGACCACTACACTCAACGTTTCATTTCCAGATCATTCCAACTAACTACTCCTTAACCGGCCCCGCAGAACTGACCTCTCTCCGCCTCGCCGGAGGCAAAGACACCAAAGGTAATGAACGAGAACTCAGGCAAGGTAAACCAATTTATTATTTTATGCAAAATCCCATAGTGCCTTTGTAAAATATGAAAATCGTACATTATATGCATACATACTACTTATATCTGTCCACATAAGAGGCGCACAAAACAGTACTACTGCACTAAGTCCCATTAATTACAAACAAATACACGCACATTATCAGCTTACAGACAAATACATAGATGAATTATGTTGAAATGATATACTATAACACTTACTCCGTCCATAAAACTGATCCGAGTATCGTCGTCTAACTCACTAAAATTTGAATAGATAAAAACAACACAGTATTATTGTTGCATATCATTCAGATACATATTTCGGGATGATTAAATATATTAAAAAAATCAATTCTACAGCAAAATGCAAGAAAAATACTAGAAACATTAGGCGTGGACGACAACTGTTGGCGACCTCTAATTTAAGAGAGAAACGAAGCAATAATTTTTAGCTTTCTATAGTACACATCAATAACTAACTAGGTTGAAATAAACCTAATGAAAATTCTAAGTATTATACATGGTTTAGTTCAGGGGTCTGCAAAGAGAAGTTTGATTTATAAACGATTCTAGTCAGACAATGAAGTATGTATATGATCATTTCTGAGGAATCCCATTACAGCTGCGCAGAGGATAATCATTTAAACAACAACAACAACAATATATATATATGTATATATATATCATAGAACGTTATACAAGTTTATTTCCCAATTCTGAAGCTTATCCCAATCAACAATGAGGAGTCATTAGCTTTTAACCAGCCTAAGTAGATATATCTTCAGTATTCACCTATATAAGGATATTCTCTTTCATATCTTCACAGTTTTAAACAACACTCTCCCTCTACCAAACACTTGAAAACAACAAAGAAAAATAGTTGCAGGAAAATACAGTACGGTGAATGATATATCTTGTACATCTTTAAACAAATTCAGGGACCTAAAGATATTTGTTTGTACAATAATTTCATGACTATAGTGTTGAAACAAAACTTGTCATAAACTGTGTATATATGTGAAAAACACTAAAAATATCGTCATTACAGATCAAAGATATTCTGAAAAGTTTTCGATTTCTATCTACAGTTAGTGCTGAGAACGTTATCTATACAAATATGATCTAAACTTAATGATTAAACGATCTTAATTGAAAAACTGCAACATCTTCCTATAGGGAAAACTATATGCCCAACAACAAAAAATAATACAGTTTATTAATGGTTGGTCAGTAACTAATGTCATATTTATCTAGATCTTTTAAAGCTGATCGAATTCTATCGGTCAAGTTGCAAAATGCTCACTTAAATGAATGACTCGACATCATATGTACTATGTTGAGATGCTAAGGAGTTGTATGTAGTCGGTCGACAGGACATTCTGGACTTCGAGTACGTGCTAGGTGAGACTTGTCAGCAAGACAGGTGTTCATTGTGTAATTCTAAATCGCGTCATTCAGCTTTTCAGTTTAAAACGTTACCACTAAACTATTCGGGATGAAACTAATAGTAACATAATTGATTCTTTTTAGTAACTTCAGTTGACAAACTGAAGTGTAATCGTAACTTAACTAACATATTTCCCACAGATTGACCGATAAAAACAACGTCCACAAGTATTTAAATAATTATTCTCTCAAATAAAGGCACTGAACTCAAAAAAATTTAAAACAGAAACTGTATATATAAATTTTACACACCACATTTTTCATTGACTACTTTTAAGTAAAAGTCACTTACCTAAGAATTAACATACCTCTGAAATCTAACGAGATTTATGACAATTGTTGATTGTTATCGGAATGGGGATTTGAGGAGATTGTAGTAATTTTAATAACTGGATTCATGAGTTGATCTAAGCTAGACCACCAATGAAAACCTGGAAGCACTGGACGACCGTTTCATCCTAGTTTGGAACCGAAAGTCCTGGGTTTGAATCCCACGTGCGGGGTCATCGATGCGCACTGCCGAGGAGTCGCAAAGTAGGATGAAACGGTCATCAAGTGCTTCCAGGTTTTCAATGATAGTCTAGTTTAGATCGACTCATGAATTCAACTAATAATATTGTTGATTTATGAAATGGGTAAGTTTTATAACTCACAACAGTAATCAGTATGTTACACTCATGTTAAAAAGAAGTAATAAAACTGAGAAAATTTCGAACGTTAACTGTGGCTGAAGAAAACAAATTAACTTAGACTCATATAGAAAAGTGCTATTTGTATAATAAACTTCTGTCATAACTACCATAAAATATTTTTTTAAAATTCATCTTTGTATTGTTTGTTTGAATCTTTCTATTGATGTTTTGGATTGCAGTTGATCAGTCCCTTCTTGGCATATGTGCATCCTATGTGGATTGCCTTGAGTCACTAGCGTTACAATCAAATATGGATGTTGGCTTGCAGTGAAATCCAGGACGCACGTTTCGCCCTAATTGAGACTCGTCAGCTGGACATACCTGAACCCCAGAGTTGATGTTCACTCCGGGACTTGAGCTCAGTGCCGTTCGCTTCAAATGCTATAGCGTTACCAATTTAGCGACCGAGTCCAGATAGCCTCTCTTTTTATGGAGAGACTGAAACAATCATTCATCTTGGTTCTATAAACGTCGTCAGTTTGAACAATATAGAAACGAAAATAATTAGAACAACCACTATTGAGGAGTCTCAAACTGTTTAGTGCTTCTACGTTTTCAATGTTTGACAGACTATGATCAATCAGTGATACTGGCTATGAAATTCAGGATTTTATTTATTTGAACATACAAACACCGGTACAAAGGGGCACCGAATACATATGCGTCACACAATAACTATGAGGGCAGTAGTAGTTGTCATTGATGTGCGTGAGGGCTGTGATGTTCCCGACAGTTTTCTTAGAGGGCTACATCCGAGCCTTTGACCCGCAGGTCTAATCCATAAGGTAGTAGAGCAACGCTAGGAGATGCAGTCCCATGGTAGCCGGTGACCAACAGTAGGTTCATACGCCATTCGTCCTCTCAGGATCCTGGGGCTCTTATGAGCCATTGCTTTGGAGTCGGGGCTTTTCAACTCCCCATAAGTGGACTGTTCGTGCTCACCAACCCAGTTAAAGCATCGGAGATTTGTTTTTCATCCTCAAGATTTCGTAAACAACAGTAGTGCCACGAAAGGGTGGTGAGTAAGACTTCCTTGACAGTGGCTATATACGCGTAGCTATGTGAGCGCATTTCGAGAGGGAGAGATGACTTTCCCCACCCTTGGCCGTATCGTAGCATTTGGGGGGCAATTAAAGAACTTCATAAGAACCTATTATAGTAAAAAAAATTTTGTCTTACTTTGAACCACATGCTCGTTCAGAGAATATACGCAGCATAAATTTAGCTTCTTCATTTGGATTAAATGTACATGGGATAATCACATAATGGCCTGGTTTTAATTTATGCCTACCACAAACTTCACGCATATTAATAAATATCGGTGATCGCGCTACAGATGAATTAGTCATAAAAAACCTTCGATCTAACAGTCGATTGTTTGGAGCAGATGGAGGCATCTATAAAAGTGATAAATAGACAGATCAGAGGGTAAAGAAGAATCATAAGAAATAACTACAAAATCAAGTTGGTAGTTGTTTACAAGAATTATCTATATCAAAGACTGCTCCTTCTTCCCCTGATTATCTTTTTTGGCGTAAACAGAGAGGTAGTAATGCTAGCGGTCAAAACACACCTTTTTCTTAAAGCTGCGTACATAAAAATGTAATTGTTAGCGCGATAAAGACTGGATTAGAGCATGTTCCTTGAAGAATTGTGATGGGGCACACTGACTGGCTATTTCTTAACCAATCATAGCTAACAGAGAATTAGAGAAGTGTCTGGAAACTTTTTATGTAAAAACTCTAAATATACAAACGCGTATTTTATTGTGATTTCTACTTCCATCTGTCATTGTTATTTATAATATAATTACGTTTCTGTTCAAACGTGTTCTGATTGGAGGACTAGTCGAGTAAATTAGTGTCCAAGATTACCAAGCAATAAGAGAAATCATAACAATATTTGATGAATCAATTATATTAAGAATTTGAAGTTATTGTATGCAATCGTGGAATCTGGAATTTCAAAGTTTATTATGTTCATTTTAAAGACAATTGTATTTTATAAATTCATCCAATCGAAGGATATTCAAATACAAATGAACTGTTTAGCCAGTATCCAAGTGCTTTCTAATAAAACCATATAAAGACTGACATGGTAGTCAAAATGCATGTTTGCAGACTGTTTAAGAAACTACTAGTGTTTATTGTACTTGCACTTTTCAAACATTTTCTATTAATCCAGTTACTTTTGTGTATTCAATCACACGTCTTACTAATATCCAATAAATTATGTCATGGTTGATCATTTTTGACATGTCTTCTTGATTCTGTGACATTCAATTCATTCATAATTGTAGTTTTATTCTTTTACTTTATCTTCGTCTATTGGTGTTCACTGGACATCTTTTCACCTGTTACTTGGTATGCAGAGATAACATTTCATTTTGTTGGCTGACACTCATACATTAACACAGTGGTTCAGGTACTTAGCTTATCTCATATTTTTCAAAAATAATCCTTATATAACTGTTCCCGGGAGCACTACCTTTACGAATGTTTATTAAAACGTGTAAGCAACGTGGATAACACCACAAATTGTGGTTTATGAAATGCATGACTTATACTATGACAAATAATAGTGTCGTTTTATAGATAAATCCCTTAGTTTGATTTTGGCTTTAAAATTTAGGCAACTCTCAATAAATAAAACTATGTTGCTGTGTTAAATTAACGAGTATGGGATATTTAGAATGAAACAGTCTTTACAAAACTCTTTTTCAATGACGGAAATAAAATCCTTTTAACAACATGTCCACTAGCCTGACTTGCGTTTTTGCAGAGAAATAATCCAAAATATAAAGCCACAAAAACAAGTGATATTTCTGAATACAGTCATTAAAATTGATATTTTTAGTGTTGAATGATTGCCTTGTATCTAGCCCATCACGCTCGACAAATGTGTGAATACTGTGTGTCGGAGTGCAATTTTGTCTATTTCATCTCAAGCGGATAGAGCTATTTGTAATCGTATGCTATGGGGATGTCAGTTTAGCACAACCAACATGTTGAATATGGTGGACGTTAGGGATTCAGACGAAATATTTACCGAAAATCACATACTAGTATGAAGTATTCACTTAATAAATGCACAGAAAATAGTGACTGACATTGTTCGATACAACGTAATTATTGAACAACGAAGACTTTGATGATACCTCTAGTCGGATTCCTATCCTTCTAATAACACAAGCCTATATAGCTACTGTGTAATTATTTGATCGTAATAAATTATTTCTAAAGCTACAACAATGATTAGTTTTGGAACATGACTCTTACAGCAGTAACTGGATAAATTCTTACCCGAAATACAGAATAACCAATCACATGAGGTTCAATGTGTTTTTCTCTTAATCCCTTCTGCATCAAACCAACTACAAGAGTGCCATTACCATCTGTATCTGACTCATCCGGAGCAACAACCTCAACATGAAATTGTGGATTCATGTAAAATGTATCTACAAAAGCAACGTGATGAATATAACGTTCAATTAAAGTTACCAGCAGAGTAAAATATGTTTTTACATAAAACTCATACTATTGACAGTAGTATAAATATTCCAACAAAAATATATTGTTCATCGTTATTTAGCGTACAATAGTAAAGGAATATGTCATACGATTATCAAAATTTATGACAGTATATGTATAATTTTGACTTCTCATCGTCCAATAGAATATAACAATGGATTTTAAATGAATAATTTAATTATATCAAGCTTCATGGTGAAATAAGAAAACTGAGGTGCTAAATTTCAATATTTACAAATACGAACATAAAAACGAAGAATATTGTTACATCAATCCTGGTCTCCAGGTTCTACCGTGGTGTGCTCTTCCTATGTGGACAGATATAAATAGCGTGTAACGGCAATCAGAAGTGGAATGCATACTAGCAGAAGATTGAGAAGATTCAATTGAAGAAAACGGAAGGGGAAACAGGAATCAACTGTATTAACAACAGAATTGAAACAATCATGAAGCATTTAAAGGACAACTGATGGAAGATGTACAAATTATGTATCTAATATATGGTTTGTATATTTTACGAAAGCACTCTGTAATTTTGCATTAAACGATAAATCGGTTATCTCCACATGAGTTGTCGTTCACTGCACTTCAGTTGTATATTCAAATTAATAATCCAAAATTTGACTAAATTTAAGGCAAACACATCGATGAAAATTATGACATGTGAACACGGGATTGTTTGCAAACATTAAAACTTGTTCAAATTAACACTGTATAATAACTTGTGCATTGCGGGGACATTAACAATCTATTAATTTGTACTCCTTTCCAATCAAATCGCCTCACTGTATAGATGATTTAGAAGGACTTGTCAAGTGGGTCCATATGACCACAGTTCACAAGATGTTTTAACATTGAACTATTGACTGATTTACATTCGATTTTCAAAAGTCACGCAGGATAATATTCGGAGATGCGTTTAGAAAGCAGTCGCCTTGTGTGGCCCATGTAACCTGGTCCACAAGAGCAAGTGAATATTCTTCATTCTTATATCTGTGTTTCTAAATATAATGAGGATCTTTATGTGATCAAACACATAATGTTGATTAGAATGCAAGTATTTGATTATTACAAGTATTTATTACATACTTACTGGGAAAATTTGAACAACCTCCAGCAGTCGAATTACGCAACCATTCACCTTCTTCACATATCATTTCCCATTGACGTTTATTACAACGACGGTTGACAGGACCTGGACTGTAAGCTATGGATTCTGGTCCAAGGTGACATAACTCAAGACGTGAGAAATAACGTACAAAATCATCGAAAGACATCCTTAAAGAGAAATAAGACGACATTACTTTCATCTTTTTTATGGAAAAAACACGTTTATCATCACATATCTACTACCATATTTGAAATATTGTTACTGTGAACATAACAGATAGTCAGTTAGCTAAAACGTAAGACGAGGCACATATATGCATCGGTCCAAGTTGCCACACATCATTAGCACAACAAGATGAACAACAAATTCACAGCAGTTACTTAAGTGGTAGTAGTATGTAAAAAAGATTGCATATAAGGATATGATAGAGGGAGAAACAATAAGTTCGTAGAAAGAGAGGTATAAATTAATTTTAATCTCAGTGTTCAAATAAATAAATAAATCTCAGGGTTTAAGGGAATACAGAGAGTGTATACAACTACGCCACTGTAATCGATTCTGAACCATGTTACAGCAGATAACTTTTGCCTCCGTTCTCAAAGATACAAATGACTAGTTAACACCTTTGTAAAACAAACATCTTTTTCTATCAAAAGCATTAGCTTTTTTTAAAATAAGAAGCCATTAGGAAACATCTCTTAACTATCTAGATATGATATTACAATTTCATTTAGTTTATAGTGAACTATTGAAAATTGTTCTATAAACCGTGTAATACAGCAGTATATTTGGGTGTTTTAAAAAAAAATAAATGGATTTCGGCTAAGGGTGGAATTTAGAAACATCATTTCATACTATTAGTGACATGTCAGCTGGATGTACCTGAATTCGTGTTAATATTCATGTTAGGACTCAAACCCAGTACTCCACTTCAAAAACAAACACCTTACGTTATTTACTGAGCTACTACTGCATATGATGTTTTTATCATTGTTAATGAAGATTTAGATTAACTCATTATTGTCACTCACCAATCAATTTTGGTTGTTATACATATTATGTGGGGAAAAAATACAAATGTAAACGTTTCAATGGAAACACTTATATGCCGCATTCTTAGTATTTGTTATAGAAGAGATTTTCTGTGCTTCGATTCGACAATATTTCGATTGTTAAGATCGGTGAATAGAATGCTAATTGAAAGATGAATGCAATGATACAATGTGATCAAGTGGTGGCTACTCAAGAGACTATATAATTGACTTAGGTCCACGAATGATTCGAGATCATATACAAGACCACTAGCCAGATCATGGTAAGATGTCATCGGTGACTGGAAGAAATTAGGTTGTGGGTCACTCACTCTCCAACAATCAATTAAGACTTGACTGATAGGTCTAATCTTTGAATATCATATCAGTAGAATAATTGCAGATTATTGGACGGTTGATAGGACCGATAATAAGCTGCTTACGATTACCTGATGGTAGGTTTACACAATAGACGAACATAATATAGAATATAATTTATTCATAACTTGACTATGCATATCTGTGATTGAGGGAGACATACGATAAATCACTGTGTTATGACTTACACAGGTAATTGAACTCAAACATTTCGACGTTAAACTTGAAATTTCAAAACAATCAAGTTTTGACTTATATCATTAAAATACGAATTATAAAAGCTCACTATTTTCTAAGAGATTTATTTGTCTAGGAATGTTAATTGAAATGATAATATTAAAGAATTGTAACAAACTCCTAGAACATTACAAGTAAAACTGTACTTATTTTTGATAGAAATCTTTTGTTTTGTTCTAGAAGTGGAACATCGAAAAAAGTTTTGATATTAAAATGCAAAAAATCGCAAATAACAGACTGCAAGTAATCTTTTATAAAAAGAGATAGTATAGCTGTTAAAATACACCATTGTAATCAATTTGATAAGATTATATTCTCCCGACAAACGAATCAAATTCCAGATGACGATTACGTTACTGCACAAAATTCAAAATGCGATGACTGAGAGTTTGTATCTTATTAGTAAAAGCCTTGTAAGATACTTAGTAAAGTCTATTTATATTTTGTTAATAAATTGATAGAAATGGAAAGACCAAAGAATAGGAATGAAACTGATGAACTCTTAAAACGATGATATGTGAAGGATTAGGTTGACGTGGAAAACATAAAATTAAAATCCATAAACATTCTAACATGGCTTATAAAGTTTTAAAGGTTGTTTAAGGGTTCTTCATATCTGAAGTTATAGAACTAGTTACATAAGTATTCATTAATATGGCTACAAAGTATTCTTTGATTTTATACCTATCAATTACTACTCCTAACCCTATGTAGAACTCATAAATCAAACTCCTCATTCTAATCCTAACATTTAATCGGTCTTTATTTAGTAAACTATTCACTCATATCAGGTGCATTGTGAATGGTTAAACATTAGCTTTATTTCTTAGGGTTAATTAATCTTGATCTGTTTGGGCTGTATTTATATTCGATACATATCGGTGTTCAGCTGTTAAAGGATAACCCGATTATTATTTGAATGTTCATCATGAAAAAGTGGCAAATAATTGTTATTTGATGTATACAAACAACAATTTGATCGAATCATATTTTCTTTAAGGGAGATCTTTGTGAAAAAGTTTGATTTAAGATTAAATAAATGCGACAATGATCATACTTTTTTAATGTTCAGTAGAAGTGCGACATTTAAAACTTTTTTTTATACTGGATATAAGAGTGTAATTTACATTGAGGACTACATTTTATTCAGTCATTTATGAGCAGGCTATTGCAACATATACCAATTTGCCGAATGAAAAAGTACATAAAGTGAACGTTAGTGCTTAAAAATGAAACCTTCAGCGAAAATCATGATTTTATATGCAGCATTCACTCACTGAATGATAAGGAAGATACTAGAAACCTCATACATATTCAACAATGAGGCAGATGCATCTTAAATTCATGAACATGTATCCTATCCATTAAATAATTCTATCGAGATTAAAAATGGATTCTTCCATGCTATTAACAAAATATTATCCAAATATTTCATTAGTAAAAACAAGAATATTTACCAAAATTCACCATCTTCATCAAAAGTGAGACCGATTCGTTTTCGTTCATCAGGTGGAATATTTCTCCATTCTCTAGATTGATCACTCCAAGGACCTGACCATTCACGATCGTTACCCCATGGATTACGTAGACGGATTAGACGAATACTTTGAGATTGATAATTAGTATGAACCTTAAATGAAAATTCATTAAGAATTAATAAAGTTCAATCATGTCGGAGGAAACTTGACATTTTAATTATGTTTGTTAAAAATGAAATGATAAAGTGATGAGCATTTTTTCACTAAAGAGTAGATAATTACTTATGATCGTGGTATAACTCATCTAATCTAATTCATATACACATCGTTTATATGACACTAACATGCAAACTAATTCGATTCACATACATGTATATGACACAGTAGTTAGTGAGTTATCAACGCTAACATTAAAGGAGCTAAGTACAAATATACATTTATACTTTAAGGTTCGAACAAACACCTGAAATCAATTAGTTCTGTTAATAAAGTAGAATAACAATGAAGCAACGATTAAAGGTTGTTTTAAAAGATACACAGTCACGATTGTAGATTAAATAAATTCATGAAACAACACACTATGAAACAAAACAGTTTAAGCTGATTTTCTTAGTTTTATGAAGTGAATAGAGCATAAACCTCCATTAACTATTAGTTATTTGATTTTGGTTTAGTGCTTTGTGTATTAGAGCTATCAGTTCAATACTGTAAGTGTATGTTTCTCTTCAAAATGCGAAACTTGTATACATTAGTAGTTTTTTTAATGAATAAGTGATCAATGAAAAAGCCAGTTTAATGGATAGACATAATTCTTGGAAAGTCAATTATAGAAATGAACTACCTCTAGGAACATATATCTAAGAAAACATATAAAAATAACCCTTAAAATGTGTGACGTAACCTGACCATATGACTGCTCATCATCAGCTCTTAGGCTTGACCGATATTAGTCGAGTAAGGCGATTGAAGTGAATTGATGTACACTTCCTTGGTACGAGTTTTTCAATGAAAAACAAAAACATTGAAAATAAAAAAAATGTTTGTCTTCACATTACAGGTTAAACTAGATTTTTATCTCTTGTCAGATTACCCAAGTGGCTTTCAATCTTCTGATAGTGAGTCGTAAATAAAGCCAATACAGTAATTAGAAACTTGGACACAGTTCTTATACAGCAAATCCTAGTCCTGAGGTCAAATTATGAACAGAGTAATCTTTTAGAGATGTGATAACGAGGAAAAGCTGTACGCATTACTAACACTACAAATTATACCACGGTACTTGATCACACGATAGATACACTACTACTCAATTATCTGGCAATTTAATCAAGAACCAAATACAAATTAAAAGTTTACTAACACAATATAGACAACTTAGTAAATGAAATCAATGTTATTATATGAGGTAGTTGTTTATATTTAGTCTTGCTTGGACTATCCATTTTCAGTCATTAACCAATACACAGGGCAATTCGATTCAGACTATCAAAAAGTATTCAACATTTTATATATAAAATTTCGTAAATATTAACTAACAGAATTAATGCTTAAACTATAGTTTTCTGTAATTTGACACAATTCCTAATTCATGAGAATTCTTTCAACTTAATGATATCATACTTTTGACATAATATAATACTGCTAATTAATGATTAGCACAAGTGTAGTGAACAAAAACACCAGTGAGGACAATCGAATATATTTGACATGAAATTACAGAGCATCTCACTAAAATCTGAGAACCATATAGTAAATAGTTAATTTGTAAAATATCAATCCATCATCTCAAACTTGACTGTTCCTTTTAGAAATATTAGTCCACGCATTTTCTAACCAACTGCGTTTCGTTTCCGTTCTTTTCTTATCGATCTTCTACTGAAATATATTCTACGTTTGACCAATGTTACATACTACTTATGTGGATATAAGTAATCCACACCACACAAGTAGTGTTATAGTTAATCATAACGATAATAATAATAATAACGGAAATAGTATGTGAAATCTTACATGAAACAGCACAATATAAGTGAATTTTAACCTTAAAAGTTTATTTAAACTCATTAATACAGTAAAATTTCTTTTACAAATTCAATAAATCTGAACAATTCTTTATTGTAAAGTTAAATAGAATGAATACAGAGATTGATTCTAAGTAGTATGTACTTTACAATAAATAATAGTACTATAGAACAATGTGGTACATTGAATGAAATCATATGTTTTAATAATGGCCTCAAAAAACATATAAAAAGAATATAATTAATTAAGAAAATGAATGATAATAAGAATTGATTCTTAAATAACTGATTTCTACTGTAAGAAATTATAAATAGAAGTATTTATAGCGAACCTATTATATGAATCATAAAAAGAGTAAAAGAAAATAAGATATAGATGCATCATTTCAAGTTGTCATATCATATCAATATAGTTAGATGAAATTATCAAGAGAAATGTCGGAGCCGTATTAGAAGTAACAATACTGATGGTAGTGTGAAAGATTAGGTTATAGATAATAATGTTAGAATCTGAAGGAAGACAAAATATTGAATGCATTTGAGATATTGCGCCTGATTCTCAACTATGTTATCGAATTCACTTAGTATTGTTTTACGTGAACCTTCCCATTGATGTTTAGGACTGCAATTGATCAGTCGCTTATTGGCATATGTGCATACTGTGTGTATTGTCTTAATTTACAAGCATTATAAGCAAAGATGGATAGTGGCTAGCAGTGGGATCCAGGACGCGCGTCTTGTCCTATTTGGGACTCGTCAGCTAGATGTCCCAAATAGGACAAAACGCGCGTCCTGGATCCCACTGCTAGCCACTATCCATCTTTGCTTATTATGTTATCGAATGTTTCCAACCTTCATCATGCAGATAAATAAAACACGATCGAGGTAATTTCTTCCAGTTTATTTTGAAAAGTTTACTAACTAACGATGTCGGGTGTTTTTCAAGGTCAATGGAAAAAAAAATTATTCTGCTATTATTATACAGTGGGAATGACATGGAAATTACACAAAATATATACTTCTTAAGGATGTAAACTCTACCGGAAATATATTTCATAAAGGATTAGTCTGTTTGATCTCATTTGTTCAAGGTGAACTCTTAGAATAAATTATGCTATTACTGACTGGAATAAATAATCAGGACCATTTCACTGTTAAAATGGTGGGAGAACAGAGACTTTCATTACCACGTTTCTTAAATTACATGGATACATGACATCCCTTTGGTAGGTTTTCAATGAGTCGCCGTATAATTTTTGCGAAATATATGAGAAATTATAATTCTAAGTAACACAAATTAGACGAGATGAGTTAATTAAGCGAAATATGTTAGTCTCATCGCTGTAGTAACGTTTTGATTCAGTACAAAATGTTAAAAACTGTGTACTATTCGACAGATTTTTTTATTTTACCATTCTTTTATTTTACATAAGTTCCTACTGGCATGTTAACATGCCAAACTCTGAGATAGTAATACTAGAAATAAAACCGATCCAAGAGATGTTTAACAAAATTAGAGTATATTTATTTATATGGATGATAAAGAGTTGAAAGAATCAAGGAAAGATATCGAGTAATGACTGAATATCATTTCACAAGGATAATCGATCAGTCTATACAATAGTTTCATACTTATGAAATTCGAGAAAGCGACAATCAGAAATTTTGAGGAGTCCAAAACTACCTTTTCTTCGTCTCTAGAAACTCGGAAAAAGCCAAGAAATACTTTACTCAACCAGCACTAAATAAAAACTCCACAGAAACATCGGGAAAATGAAGACAAATTTTACAAAACGTAGGTCATATGGAACTCTACAAATATACACGATTTCCTATACATAAGTAAAACTCTTGGTCCTATTTCATGCCTTTTCTCTATTGTTCGAGTTGAAGTGTAGTAGTCAGAAGTAATAGGAAGCCAGTATTAAGCATTTCAGTAGCAGACCTGTCAAGATATGTGTAGAATTTGAAGTGTATTGTCAAATGCGTTAAAATCTGCAGTCTAATTTAGTCACAATACTCAACTAATTAGGCAAAGTAGGAGGGTAAGAGTTTGTAAAAAGTTGTAATGTCAGCGAGTAAATGAATATGCACATAAGTCATCTATATTTATACTACTAAACTGATTCAGGTAGGAATATATGAGCGGTGACCTTGACCAAATGAACAATTCCCCTAATTACAACTGACTATTAGTCAATGTGTCATATTCAAAACAATACCTCTATAGTGTGTTTAATAAGCTACAGGTTGGTGAGAAAAAGTGAAACTGACCCTCTATGAATACAATGAGAGATAATATATTCACTTATTCACTTAATAATGTATACAAATATAGTGCTCAAATCATTGTCCTATAACATCGATGCTTAATCTTTTGAGGTTATCTCGCATTGTTTGTCATTACAGCGTTATAAGGGGTCTTGAAAGAGACTGATAAATCTCCATATAGATGAATACGTGATTCGCAAAACTAATCATAGACACTGACAAATGAATAAACAATAAAAACACATTGTATATATTCACAATTCATTATAATCTTTAATAGTAGGTTCCTAATTTAACATAGTAAATATATACTAACTCGTCAGTCGGATGTCATAAAAGTTTCAAGGTTACTAGTTTTGGCAAGATTCAATAGAACACTTGTTACAAAGTTTTATTTAAAGAAGTTTTACAAAATACTTACTAATAATTACTCTCTATTACAATCAGATTATTTCTAACGTATATTAAAAGGGTTGGAATACAAAGATCTAAATAACCAACATCAATATAATTAATAATTTGGAACATAAAAAGTTGTTTTTTTTTCTTCTAATAACAAAAGCATAAGTGAACCAACCACCTATTGGTTAACGAAATAAGAAAAGATGTACGTCAGGTAACCATGATACATTAAACATTGAATCTTTCCTTTAAGAAAAACAAACCTCTATACACAATTTGATCAATAATAATATTAAGCTTAAAATGTTTTTCATTCAGTAATAGTTTTCCTGAAGTCTTTTAAAACAGTCACGTGAATCAGAATAAAATGAGTCGGTAAAACATAATTTTATTGACATTGAATTTCGTCTGTTTTAATAATTTCTTACTCAATGTTTCATTAAATAAAAAAAACAATA